AAATCGCCTCTTGATATCACTAACTCTCCTGACTCCTGACTCCTGAAGAAAAGCCCATATCTCGAAAAGTTCTTAACATCCCAATATCACTTTTTGCATGCGTTTCAAATGTTTAACAAAATATGTGTGCCAAATGCAATAGGATGTATATCCGTTAAATGAGGCTAAAGTTCAGTTTATATATTTGGGGACTACGTGTTATGTTTTTCGAAAACACCAACGAGCATGATTTGATCGAAAATGGCGCAACAAGAACCTGTTAAGAGAGCTATAAAGCATCACTCTAGCTTGACTAAAAGAGAAGTTATCAATATTTTGAGGGACATGCCACTAGGTCGCATTATTTTTTTTTACCCCTTATCTTAAGATCTAATTGATTGAAGGGTAATGTATTTCTGGTGTCTCACTCTCTCAATAGAGCAGACCATAGGTCCGAATTTAATTTAAAATCGGATAAATTCATGCCTCGTAGTGTGTTGATTTGACGTGGAATGACCCTTTTTCGAGGACAATACATCGGGGAAAAGATACTTTCACTTCTTTTTCTAGTTCACACGTGTCAGTCGGTTGGTAATTACAGCCCGCACTAGTAGCTCTGGTTTTTCTTTTCCTCTTTCCTATCGTCACAGCTGATTCCGACCTTTAGAGGCCTCCTCGTATGATTATTTTCCAAGGTCAATTCACCTATTCCGAAGAAATAAAACTACGATTTCATGAAACAGTGAAATCCATTTTGACCTTTTGCCTAAAGCAACAAGAAATATTTTAAATGTCCGCTGCAGGCTTGCCATCAGGATTTGAATGCAAAAGAGTACTTATGTGGTGCAGTGCAGACCTCTATCCAAGAAGCCCCAGATACAGAGAAGAGTCCACTGTCGCAGAGCACAATGAAGGTGCATGAGTCTCAAGTCCGTGACATGAAATTTTTCGTCATGCTTCTCGTTTGCTCAGGCTCGTGTTCGTGTTTTTGAGAGGACCGTGTCCACGTAAAAAAGACGATGGCTTCGGCTTTGCAGTGGATCCCGGACACTCTTTACAACATTGCCATAAATTGGTTCGTCTCTAGTCAGAATGTGGATCGGGGAGAGCTCCGCACCTTCCCTGAAAATGTCCAGTTCGACGTCTATTACAAGGTTTGTTGGGCGATGCTTACGCTTCGCGGTTTCAGAAATGTCGGTAACGGTAGACAAAAGGCCGAAGCCTATGATGAGCATAGCCTAACGTTAGGCTAATGGCTTAGAATCAGGCCTGGAGGCATTGACTTGTGATGGGCATTAGGTGCGGCTCAACATTGTTGGACACATGGATCAAACTAGTTCGACGGATTCTGTAGGTTTATAACCTTGCAAGTGTTACCCAACATCTTTGTAAGCATTAGATTGCTTTGACATATTTAATTTATTGAATGATGTGCCCAATTATAGGTAACCTCTATCTTACCAGTTTTATTACAGGTGGCATGAATTCCTCATAGGAAAAACTTGGGTCGAGTCTAATTCTACAGTCGATTCCACAGTAGTGCTATAGCATTGCCATTTATGAGTGGGAGTTGTATTCTCAAGCTTGAGTTTGACTTAGGTTGAGATCTTAGCGTATAGTAATTATGCAAAAGTCGAGCCCGTTTCCTTAGTACAATGACGTGCTGCACAAGAGAGGCTCCATACTGAACAAATGCTTCACGCAGGGTCGTGAGTGGGGATCACTCACCACTACCTAGCGAGTGGTGTGGGGAGTAGGACCTTAAGGAGGGTGTGGAGCACCACGGTACTTTGGTATTTTCGAAATACCACCCAACCTAACCCTGTCTCAGTTAAGAAAAACCTTTTTTTTTCTCTCACCTTGCCTTGGGGGTTGGGAAAGGAGAGAAAAAATAAGTTTTTCTTAGCTGAGACAGGGTTAATTGATACTATTGTTGGTGCAATGATTGTGACAGGGCCTATAAACATTTTCAAATATGATCCTTGGTTACTGACTTTCATAAGCTTATTTTACTCTAAGAAAAAAAAAAAAAGATGCATACGTTCTCAGTCGCACACCTCTATGGAGGGAAACCCAGGGTCGTGTACACATACCACTCTATTTCTCCAATACCAAGAAGGATAAAATTATTGGCTACCTTACTTTGCCCATTGGAGGTGGAGCTTAGACAATGAGCCAAAGGATTTCAGAATTGGCATGTAACTTTGCCATCAGGTCTGAAGAGGTTAAACTAAATATTATGCACTTACAGTTTAGTTTTGACAAATAATAAAAGTAATTGTACCTTTGTGGTGAAAAAAAAAACAAGCAAACATGATTGGTGTTATGTGCCTGTGGGTTATACTTATGCCAATTTTCAACTTGATATGAAAATGGGCTAAGCAAGCCTTGACAAGTCATAAGCAATACCTATTAAGCCTATTGCTCTGGATGTGCCAAGGCTTTTGACGATGTATACTAGAAATATCTTAGCCTCCAAACAGTATGATTCTGTCAAAGTTGAATCTTGTACTGTGGAACTTAAAAATCCTATAAGGTATGCAGTAAAATGTGGATAAGAATATCAAATTTGCTGTTTGAAAAGTATGGAGACATGCTTGTATCTCATACATGAAAGTTTAATGATAATTTGTTATCTGTTATTTTCTTACTGAATGATTTATAAACCCATGGAAAACTTGGCCTCAACTGATCAAGCATAGCAGAGGTAGGTCTGCCTATTAACAGTTCATTTTTCCTTTGATCCAGCCAGAAGCTTTTATGTCCATTCAGTTGGCTAACATTAGAGAAATGTTTAACATCATTAGTGGTGTATGTGGAGGAATTACTGGAAGAATAATAAAAAAAAAGGTTTTCTTTTTATGATTCACAAAAGCACTTCTATCTTTCTTTATTTCACTCAATATAGCTGTCCAATATCCAAAATTTAATGTAACAAGACTGACAATATTATTATGACAATTAGGCCAATGTTTTTGAATGAGATATTTGATTGAATAAGGATGATGAAAGAGTCTTAATTAATTTTTTTCCTGCAATTTATGCATTTTCTTGTAGCTTTACAAGACAGGACGATTATGTCAGTTGGGATGTGAATTGTGTGATCTGGAAGTCTTCACCAGGATGCTTCGAGTTACAGACAAAAGACACCTCCTGCACCACTGCTTCCAGGTCCATTTCCCATTCTGTAATATTTTCTGATCTTGATGGAGGAAGAACAAGCTATTGAGATTCTTTCTGCTTTAGGCTTTGATGGATCATGGCACAAGGATCGCAAAAATCTTGGCTGATGCTTACCTCAGCAAATGCCATTCAGACTTTGCTGAAAAATCATCGGCTTATGCAGAGAAGATCATCCGTCAGGGTCTTTCACTTGGTAAGCTGTGTTGGGGAATTCACACTATGAGCTTGTTGAGTTCATGAAAATCATAAGAAAAATGGTTGCTCATAGTACAACCCCTGCTAATGGTGACTCAATACAAGTGACACTAAGATAGTATTGCATTCTCCTCTTTCTTTATAAATTTATTTGATCTACTGGAAAATGGTAATATTCTTCAGGGCGTATGGGCCTTTATTTTGGTACAATTTTCTCATTTCCCTTCACATTGTATCTAATGGAAAATAAATTTTGTGTGTTTGGTGTCTTTAGGGTTTGTTGGCTTTGTTGAATGAGCATAGGATTCATAAATTGACTTGGAGATCAGGTTAGACATGAAAAGTAACTATTTTCTAGACAGTACCCTGAAGGCAATTAGTGACATAGTGAAGGGTTATCCATACTCTGCTTCTAAAATACTGGATGCAGAGAAAAAAGCACTCTAGAGTATTGACTTGTTCATATCAGAAACTTAGTCAAAGCTAAAGTAGTGTATGTTCCAACACAGGAATCTGTGTATTGAATCTGATATAAGTTTTATATATGACTGTTCTCAAAGCTGGTTTAGCCACAAAAGCACTTTGAAATTAGGGAATAAAATATTTTCAAGTCCTTGCACATCCAAGGAGACTTACTGAAATTGATGCCTAATTGATCACCCTTGCACCTGGGTGACAGCATTGAACTGCAGTTTCTAATGAAGAATCACTCTTTGAATGAAGTCATTGCACACTTTCATCTTGCAAAATCACTCTAATGCTACTCCATCTGCCTTGGTCTGCACCATGATAAAATAAACTGATGCAATAAACATACTAGCATTGAAGCATAAAAGCTTCCCTCTTTCTGTGGGAGACTAACAGGTGGGAATTGTGAAATGTATTAATCATGTTCTTCAAAGTGCTTCTGTGGTTAAACAAGGTGAAGGAAGGGAAGGGAGGATTGAAAGATGAGAATTGGTGGAGTACAAGATTGTATCAACATATGTTTGGTTCAGGACTGAGAGTGGGCTTGAATCCCTAATTCTGCATTTTCAGGTGGGTTTTTGAGTGATGCTGGCTGGTTTGCCGAGAGTGAGCGAGTCCTTATGGGTAGCCTTGAAGTGTGCCGTGTCTCTGAGGACCCATGGCACCTCCTGCACTCACTCAAATGCTGCCTTCGCCTTCTGCATGTACAAAATGCTTACAGCTGCTTTGTGGATGCAGAGAAGACACGCAAGGAAGCCGAGTATTACATAGAAAAGCTTAGGGCTCACAGTTCAGAGCCAAACCTAGCTGGGCTGTACACTGAATCCTCCATTTTTTATTTCATCAAATGCCAGTATGACAATGCATATTCATGGGCCATGGAGTCTCTTCGGCAGCTAGTGGCCAACCTCCCCATCCGCGTCCTAGTTGAGTCCCTATGCCAGGCAAGCAAGGTATGTGTCGTGAAGAGGGAGTTCTCGCGGGCCGAGATGCTCATCCGACAGGCCTTGGCACTCGCTAAGGATGGGTTTGGGGAACAGCATCCCAAGTATGCTGACTGCCTCATGGATTATGGTTTCTTTCTTCTGAATGTTGATCGCATCAATCAGAGCTCTGAGGTGTACCAGGTAAAAGACTCCTCAAAGCAGTAGTGATTGATTTGTGGCTAAACATCATCATGTTGATATATCTTTTTTAGGCTGCCCTAAATGTGAGACAAGCTGTGTTTGGAGGGAAAAATCTGTATGTGGCCCTTGCTCATGAAGATGTTGCTTACTCTCTCTATGTGAGGGAATATAGTTCAGGACACTTTGCTGCTGCCCGGTAAATTAATCTCCTTATTCCTCTTACCTGATGTGGGAAATTTTGTATGGACTGAATGCTCAATGACTTGCACATGAATATCTCTAAATGTGCATTTCCGTTTAATGTTTATTTGAAAGGGAGCATGCAGAAAGGGCTATGAGCATGCTGCAGCTGCTAATTCCTGAGAACCACCTCCTCATGGCTTCCACACGACGTGTAAAAGCACTGATCCTGGAGGAGATCGCTATTGACAACCAGGACAAGGAGTCAGAGCAGCGTCTCCTTGAGGAGGCAGAAGAGTTGCATGTGTCTGCCCTGCATCTGTCCCAGCAGGCATTTGGGGAAATGAATGTCCAAACAGCCAAGCACTATGGGAATCTGGGTCGGCTTTACCAGAGCATGAAACGGTTCGAGGATGCTGAGCGGATGCATTTGAAAGCAATCAGGATCAAGGAGGTACTTCTTGGCCCACATGATTATGAGGTTTCTCTATCTGTTGGGCACCTGGCTTCTCTCTACAACTATGATATGCAGCACTTCCAGAAAGCAGAGGAGCTATATCTTCGATCCATCAACATAGGTCTGTTATTCATTAATATGAAACCTAAAACCTGGCTAGTGTTAGGCTTGATTTTGATACCAGAGGCTATGGCTCATTTCTTGGAAATGACTCCTGATGGTATATTATGTTTCTCACTTGAAGTACTGGTGTCCAGATGGTACAGTTTGATCTAGTAAATAAAAAGTCATTTCTGTGGCTGTAAGGATGAAGAAGCAGTGTATTATAACAACCAACATAATTTTTCCATTTATGAGTGTCCCCCCCCCCCCTGCCCCCCAAAAAAAAAAAAAAAAGTTTCTGGGGTCTGTGCCTTAAAATAACTTTTTTCCAGTGACCTCATGCCATTTTGTTCTTTATTGTTCCAGGGTATTTCACGCCAAATTTTTAGAGATTTCATGAAAATGTTCATGAGCTAAGATAAAAGAGACCTAACTCCTTGGTGCTACCTGAACCAAACCATGAAGATTTTCAGTACGTGATTTTGTATGATTCTCACAGCTAAGGAAAGCCATGACCACCTTATTTCTGCCTGGGGTGATGATGCCCCATGTCAGGAGACTATGAATACCTGGTTCTGAAATTTCAAGATGGGTCACTTTGGGCTGGAGGACACCAATCATGATGGGCGCCCTGCAACTGCCACTGATGAAAGAACTGTTGCTGCCATCAAAGAGATGCTGAAGGATGATCCACAAATCACCTATGAAAAAATGCACATTACCCTAGGGATTGGAAACTCAGCCTTGCAAACTATCTTTGCATAAAAAGCTTCAGCGGAGATGGGTTTCAACCTGTTGGGTTCCTCATCTCTTGAAAGAGCATGAAAAAGTGGCCCACATAGAGTTATGCCAGTTCATGCTTCAAAGATTTGATGAGGGGTGCTCTGATGTAAATAAGATCATCACAAGTTACGAGACTTGGGTCTATCATTATGGCCCCAAGACAAAGCAGCAATCGTTGGCATGGCTTCCTAGAGGGCAACCTTCTCCTAAAAAATTTCATCGTGCAAGTCTGGGTTCAAGGTCATGTTTGCCATTTTTTTCACCAAAAGTGGCTTGGTGAAGGCAGTACCACTGGAAAATGGGCAAACCGTGACTACTGAGTGGTATGCAAAAGTTTGCCTGCCAGCAGTGTTCAATGCCCAAAAGGAGAGGCAGAAGTACAGCTTGAAGGGGATGATGTTGCATCATGACAATCCCCAGCTCACAAGGCAAGGTTGACAGCATCTGAGTTGGAGAAATGGAAAATGGAAATGAAAGAGCTGCCACATCCGCCATATTCCCCAGACCTCGCTCCTTGTGACTTTTGGTTGTTCTGTGAAATGAAGCAGGAGCTGCGCTGGATTGAGTTTTGTGTGGAGGAGCAGCTGAAGAAAGGCATGGAAGGTGTCCTGGCATCCATTGAAACCAGGTGTTTCAGAGAGTGTTTCAATAATTGGTTTGGGCACATGAAAAAGTCCATCATTCGATCTGGGGATTATGTGGAAAAGTTGTGAATAAATGATGGTCCTGAAGCAGGAAGCACTTTGCCCTAGCATCAATTTATGGTGTCGAACCCAGAAACTTTTGGGGGGGATCCTTGCAGTTTCAGTTTTATTTTTATGCCAGTTCAGCAATTTGACTCATGGGTAAAAATATACTTTGGCATTGCAGGCATTAAGCTCTTTGGGAACAGCTATTCGGGACTGGAGTATGACTACCGTGGCCTGCTCCGTGTCTACTCTCGCCTTGGTGAGATTGAACGTGCTGCCCACTACACCTACCTGCTGAACCTGTGGAAGTTGCTGCGTGAAGAGCATGCCGAGCATCTTCCCCCTGCCCTGGAACTTGAGAAGCCTCAACCCCTTGACCTCTTCATCAAGAAAGTCCTGGATGGCAACTGAACCAACACTAATCTCTTATGTCAATTATGAAACTGAATCAGCATTTCACTCTTCCACTCATTTGAAACACAAATTTCTATTACTTCTTCATCTTGATTTTATTTCATATGTGATGCTAGCTGGAATCTTGTGACTCATAAAATCTCATTTTAATATGCCACAGTGCAGCTGGCTGTATGGGAGCACATTACAGGTGGCATTGGGTGCTTTCTTAACATGCATTTCACTAATCAGAAGTACCTTGTAACACTGAATCTCTCAAAAGTCACTCAATTTGGAAACTTGCACTCCTCAGTTGATCAGTTCAGTGTAATCCATGATGGACTTTAGGAGTTGGTGTCACAGGGATGATGTCACAGTTGCTTGTGATATCCAGATGCCCTTACAGTCATGCATTGGCTGTTGGTCATTTGCCTCAAGATTGGGGTGTTCAACTGCATATTGTCAGTATAGTTTAAGGGAGTACAATTTCCTTTCTGGTCCAGGTTACTCCCATTGATGGTGGTAAATATGAGGGGAAGGTCTTATATGGGGTGAGCACATCATTGTCATGCGCTATGAAAATGCATGTTTTTGTGACTGCTCCCCAGGTATCCCTGTCTGACCAAGACATGAAATGCCCAGTTTCAATTATGATTCAGAACGTGTATTCTCTTTTTTCGAGCATTGGAGAAAATCTCTTGTTCTTCAATTGAATAAAGTTTGCTGTAAAGCGTTATGCTTTTGTCAGTTATTTTCTGGATGCTCAGAATGCTGTTGCATTATCAGCGGCAACTTCTGCTGTGCCATTCATTAATTATGTTTGCAGGGAATTTGTTGTGAATGTGGACTGGGCAAAGGATATGAGCATTGTGAGTTACATAAAAGTTGAAATACAGTCATGTCTCCGCCTCCTCCCTCGACCCCTCATTTTGCTTTGCATTAAATGAGAACTGGAGACTGGGAGCAAGTCTAGCTGAACACGAGAGGACTTGAAACTGGCGGTGGAGAGATGATTTAAAATCACCTCGTCTGTGAGTCATGTGGACCTCCAAGCACATGCACAAGAAGAATGTAGACCTCACAAGTAATCCAATGTTTGACACTATTCTACAACTTCACCTTCATTATCTCTGCGTTTTCATCGCATACTTTTTGCGTCGTTTTCCTTCATATTCTTCTATTTCAGCCCTATGAAAAGCAGTCGTTGAGAGTTGTATCAGTCATTTCGGCTAGGTATCCCCATTCCTGCATACCCGAATCGAGAGTGAATTTCTTTTGGAACAATTTCCCCTTGTGCACCTATTAATAGTTCAAAACCCATATGATTGCATCCCGATTAAGAACTCGGGGTCACCTTTAAGTTGTCATCTCGGGTACCTCACGAATCCGTCGATTGGACGGTTTCAAGTGTCCCTTACATCCTAGTTGGAAAAAGGCAGACAGTTGCTTGCCAGATCAAAGGAAGAATTGAAGCAGGCCCAAAACCACTACCTGATCTTTTGTACCTAACAATTCGCAGCCCTCTGTTTTGTACGGAAATGACAAACGCAGACCGATTAGCTTGTTAGTGGCATCCAGTGATGAATCCGGGGGGGGGGCGATCGCTCTCCAATGGCCAAGTTCGCATTTTTTTTTTTATACCTACATTAATTTTTGTGGGGCCTGTGAAATAAATTTTTTTAAATCCCGGATGAAAAATTAAAAAGGCAATAGGGCGGAGGGTGGTGGTAGGTGGACTTGGGAACCGCCCCCCCCCCCCCCCCCCCCCCCCCCCCCCCCCCACCCCCCCCCAGAATATGTTTGGCGAACTAAGTACTTTTCAGCTAATACTCATTTCACAAGGGGGGGCTAACTTGCCCGAACAAAATTCACTACACAGGGCAAGTGGGTATACCCCTCTGGGGTAAGTGGGACCCCCCCCCCCCCCCCCCCCCCCCCTCCATGAAAAACTTCTGTATCCGCCACTGGTAGGCTTCAAATTCTACAGGATACCCTGTTAAGGAGGGAAAATGAAAATGAATGATCTGAGGCATTATTGCTGAGGGTCTCAAGAGGAGTGGAAAGGAAGTTCTTTGTCACCGACATTCAGTTTCGCTTGAGTTCGTTTCTGAAGCTGCCGCTAGATGGCCATTTTCTGGGTCGTATCGAAATGGCCATAAATCTAAAACCCTTAACTTAGAGATGCGAAATGAACGCAATCGCATAGCCGAAACATTGCCCTTTCGAGTGAAAGTCAATAATGCTATCCTTGGATCAATTGTCAAACGTGCGATTCATTGGAAGAACTCCCAAGTATCAAATTCCGTTATTAAGTTGCCATATAGGTACCAGATTCATTTCCTATAAACGTTTACTTCAACATTTAGATAATTTTCTGGACAAGTCTCGTGTAATATTTCACGACTTTCCTTCAGAGCATTATTCAATTTGCATCAAAATGCAAGAAAATTGCGACTGCTGCGAGATTCCACAGAATTATTCGCCCGTGAAGTAACACGAGAAAAAATCCTCGTAATTATAAGAGAGTCCCCCGATTGAGTTGACCCCAGTCTCACAAAAATCCGCGCCGAACTCGTTTGGAAATGTCCTCTTGAAGGAGTGCGTTTAGCCGCATGCGTTCGACTCACTCGTGCACCTTGCGGGCCTGAAACCTCATTTCCATCCTTTGGAAAAGCCTCTCTTACTTCTGGACTCGTCAAACAGGGCTTTTCATCGATAGAAAGAGGTCAAAGGTCACTGTATACCATCATTAACCTTTACGAATATTCATATTAGGGGTACCGAAAGTAAGTAATGTTGTTTTTTGTATACCAAATGTAAACGTTATTATGTGTTTTCGTTTGCTTTGAAATGAATTTCATTCATTAATCTAACGAACCTTTATTTGTCATACATTTTTCGATAACAAAAATCTTTTCATTTTCTTCAGCAAAAATGTCTGACCACATTCCCGAAGAGATCCATATACGACGATAAACTATGAGTTTCGTAAGGGAAGTAAGGCAACGAAGGCCACCAAAAATATTTTTGGTGTTTATGGAGATGTATTGAATGTCCGCACATGCCAGGGTTGGTTCAGTAAATTCCGGTCAGGCGATGTTGATCTCTCGGATGGCCATCGTTCGAGAAGACCGGTGGAGCTGAAGAACGATCTCCTGAGGTCGGAGGTCGAGTCCGACTCCTGTCAAACCATCCAACAATCGGCAGAAAACTTAATTCTTCGGGGTCTCCTGTTCAAGAACACCTTCAACAGATCGGCAAGTTTAATAGACAAGGCGTTCGGGTTTCACACCAACTTTCGGCCGAAATAGTTTTTTTGCTTTGTCAAAATTTTTTCCTTTGATTGCAGTCATGAAAAAATAAAATGAAGAACTGGTAATGAAAACTGTATGTTTTTTTTTGGCCTTAAAAGCAACGGCAGAATTTGTGACGTGGGGTCTGAATAAAAATGTGTGGTATGCATTTAAAAATATATATGAGCTTCGAAATTGCTCTCATCTTTTACTGAAGTAAATGGCAGACAATCTGCAAAATTTTCAAGTTTGTTGAGATGCATAGATGCCAATTTCAATCATACGATTGAAAACTGGTGTTTTTTTGCGAAATTTGTGATTTTTGCATATTTCGAGCCATCACATCTTCTTAAGGCAAGACAGGTCGTACACACTTTCTCATGTCTCTCACAGCCGATATACGTCTACTCTCTTTTGTCAGAGCCACCTAGGCAACATCGTACATATATTGCTGACCTGTTCCTTTATTTTGATGATATTCTTGGGTTCCTTTATTTCATTCACTCTCTTAGTAGCTGTTGTTATGAAGGACAGTGGCAAGGATTGCATCGTCGCATCCTCAAATAATATTTATAGGACTCTGTTGGCATTAAATATTTCCTTCCGTGAATTTCCAAAATGTCTAGACAGAGAAAATGAATGGCTTCGATCTCTTGGAAGAAAATCTATCCCCAGATATGCTTTAGTGTGCTCGCGTCCCTTCTCCTTAGATTCCTATCATGATCGAAACGCTATAAGGCGCTTAAAAAAAGATGCCGTTCCAACAGAGAATCTGGCCTTAGAGCCAAGGCAACTTCTCAGTCATGTTTGGCGTCTAACGTACATTTTTGACCATTTGATGGTCTGACGATTCATTTCAACCAATGGAGGACCAGCAGGTCTCCTCATCCCTTGAGAATGGAAAGAATGACATAAAATCATCGTACCGGATGACTATGAATGCTCATTGCTTAGAGGTAGAAATCCTTCGTCAGAAGCTGAAGAGAGCACAGGAGATAATGAAGCTAGATAAATTATTTTCTCTCAGGTGATGAAAAAAGGAACGGTCGTCGAAGATCTCCAAGGAAATGTGTCTGATTCAAAAACTTGTTCACAAAGGAGTATTCACACAGCATACCCTAAAGTGCGAGGTGTTCCACCCCGCAAAAACGCGTTTCTGCGCAGATCTGCGAGGGATCTCTCCGACTCCCCTTGGGTTTGGCGCTCCTGCTCTGCTGCCCCGCCCCCATTGCTTCTTCGGCCAAAATGAGCTGATCACCATGACTTCATGGAATATTTTGCTCAGAATAACTGTACATAGGCATCTCAGACCCTTTCCGACCAGGGGGACAAACGTCGCCGATCTCTTCATTTTTCCTATTCCATAAGATTCACGTTCAGCTGTCACTCGTTATCTCGAGGGTCAGGACTGCGCGAAGCACGTGAGCGCCCAACTGGCGACCTATTACGAGATGGTCGTCCAGGGTTGCCATACAAATGAAAATCTTATGGACAAAACGGTCAAAAACCAGATGATAAACATTCCGAACTTAAGACATATTTTGGGAATCTTTTAATCGATGGGAGATACTAATTGGTGATTTGCGAGAGTTTACGCTTTTCCACGTTCGTTCAACGCCATTTTCTCCTGATGACTCCCATTCTAGTCTGACTCCTACAGCGATTTGCAAACGAATTCGCACAACTTTAGCATTGTGCATGTTTCTAAGGTGGTTTCTAAGAAGGTGAGAATATATCTCCTTTGAAGGAGTAACCATAAGATTTTTGAGTACATGCTAAAGGTGGGGCATATTCATTTTAAAATCCCTCTTCGCAACACCTTCCATGGTCACATATTCTCAAGATGGCGACAGTCAGCGCGTGGAAATTGTTGACGAGTTCTAAGGTGTGTCGATGCGTCAAATCCGACCTCTTCCCACGGGCTCTTCAAGGGTATTTATCATACCTATATCGATCTACAGACAAACCCTCGTGATTTTATATGTGAATCCCCTATGAAAGAATTGTGCTTAACGTTGGAAGTGTAGGCCCTTGATCACGTCAGCCTCTCCCTCATTGGGAAGGGATGAGACCTAGGTGGAGAGTATTCTGCTGTTAAGAAAAACGTTATATTTACCTTGGATGGTCATCATGGTTTGGTTTGGGAAATTTGACATTAGGGAACATGCATGTGGTAGTAATCTCCAGCTAGAGAGGGATAAACATTTTGAATTCTGTCTGCTACTGCTGCTTTTCTTACTGAGAATTTTGAAAGCAAGAATCCAACGTGGTATATATGGAGACAATGACTCCACCAGGCGACTGAGCAGGGGATGAAAGGAAGGTTTGCAATGTACATTGCACCTTTGAAAAGATCCATGGGTACTTAATGGAATCAGGACTGAAACAGAAAGGAGACCATGGACTTAATTGATGGTGCTTAAGTACAAGTAACAAAACCCTTTCCCAGGAGGGAGAGGGGAGCACAAAATGAAAGTTATCCTGCATTGCAGTGTCATCAACCTGTCCACTTCTTCATTGGTAGGGAATTTGGAATTAACATAACATATGTTCAGTTTCACAGAACTCCATGGAAAATAATACATGATAATAAGATGCAGTTATCAAAACTCAACTCATCCTTCCCATTGATTCCCTATTCCTGTTCCTGTTTGCCTTTACCCTGTAGGTTGGGATAGGGCTAAGGAAGATAACCCCTTCTGCCCCCCCCCCCCCCCCCCCCCCCCCCCTCCCATTGGTGCGCATATGTTTATATGGANCCCACTCCCCCCCCCCCCCCCCCCCCCTTTTTTTTTTTTTTTTTACCTAGTTTTCCTTTTGTATTTTTTATCGTAGTTTTCAGAGGTAATCAGGTGTCTAGTCCATGTCAATTTGAGAGTAATTTGGAAGTTAGATCTGTTCCAGAATCCACTTCCTCAGTGTTACAGTAGTCTCATGTCATAATATTGTTCTTCATCAATATCTGGTGGGACATGGGAACATTTTATTGTGGGAACAGGGAGTAATGGGTTCAGTTTTAGGTAGAAAGGTCATGGAAACTAGTGGGGTGAGGAATTTTTTTATGTGTTGGCTGCCTAGCAGGATTTTTAACCTGCAAAATGTACCACTGGCAATGCACTCAGCAGCCAACATATTAAAATCAGGGTCATTCCACACCAAATCAATCTGAGCGTCAGCTCAACCATCTTGGATTTTGACTAAAACCAGCATTCATGTAGAGGAATCAATTGAAAGAAATTAGTTTCTGCCAATTTTTTATTTCTCACTCAGATCTCAAGATATATGCATTCAAATGTGATCTACTTTTGGCTCCTAGTGCCCACTTGGACAGGAATTTATGAAACTATTTCTGCAATAACTTCTGTTTTAGTTTAAAATTTATGCTTCATTCTGGTGTCATTTTAATTGTGAAATTGCCATCTTTAAATTATCTCCATGCCCTTTTCTCCAAAACTGAAACCAGAAGTTCCACTTGATCAAACAGTTTGATCAATTTGAATGGTCAATATCTACACTTGCCACTTAAGAAATCCATTGTTCCAGTACTTTATTCAAAAGTGCATGGTATGTGATTTCTGAATACCAAATTTGAGATTGGCACTAAATGGCTTGACAAGAAATGAATATTTGTCTGCAGCAGTAGTGCTAAAATTCCACTTGTTCAACCAATTCAACCAACTTCAGTGTCTGACAAATGTACTTTCACCTCCTGGAAACCTGAGTCATAATAAATAATTGAAAAGTACCTGCTGTGCCTCTTCTAACTATGCCAAATTCAAAATTGGCACTCAATTGCTTCATGAGATATGACTGTGTGGGGTCTAGGAGCCAAATGTAGATAGCATTCAAATGCATATATCTGGATATCTATGCAAAAGATAAAAAAATTGGTTGAAGTCAGTTTCTTTAAATCAATTCATCTGTGTGCATTTTGATTTTAGTGAAAGTCTGAGAAGGTTAAGCTCATGCTCTGGTCAATTTGGCATGGAATGACCCAACAAGAAGTATCCCTCTACAGGGCAGTGGGCAAAGCACAATTTTGATGCATGTTCATACCAAATACACCCTCATGCCGTGGTGTGCTTTCCATTTCCAAATTATTTCCATTTTCCAATGCATCCTGCACATTATGATAACTAAATTTAGTAGGTTCCTGGACAGATGTTGATCTGCTTCCCCCCCTCCCCCCATCACCCCATTCCAATATCCTCTGTATTGAAAGAACTGTCCCTACATGACAGGATGTGTATTGGGGTGATGATTGCAGGTGGGGAATCAAAAAGATTAATAGATTAAAATGTATTCCAAAAACATGATTTCCTTTTACCAAGGCATACCTAGTAGCTTTCTTACAGACCAGTAAAGAGATAATGTGGAACCAGCTCTGGGCACTATGCTTCAGACTTCAATGACTTCAGAGTGTCTACTTATGCATGTAGTCACTTGACTGCAGCCTGTATTACTTACTCCTACTACCTTCCCTTTCCCCTGTTTTTTTTATAAATATTATTAACAACTTTTGCTCTTAATTATAGAATACCATTACTGGGTATTGTATTTTCAACAATAATTCCTTGATCCAGGAAAAGAAGTTATTCTACAAAAAGCGATGAGCCCAAGCCTGAAGAGTCTGGGTTTAAGGAGGAACCAGACAGTGACAAGACAGGATGGCTCTCGAAGTTCCTTTCAAGGAAGATCGAACCCACCAAGGAGTCCCACTCTAGGCTTTTGTCAGAAAAAGACATTATCTATGAACTGCAGACTCACAATGTAAAACCAAGCAAGATGGATCCCTACATTCAAAAGTAGTAAGTATGACTCTGTGAATATATGATTGTTGATCAATGAAGGCATTATGGGTCAGTGCCAGGTTAGTAGATAGATCAAACTTCCTTTGTTCTGACTTCTTGGTTGGGTTTGATATGCAGTTCAATGTCCTAGTCCCCTTAAATTGTAGTTATTTCCTAGAATCAATATGCGCTCCAATTGTCTTTTTTGGCGAGTGCTGAGTATGTGAAGGCCATCAGTACAAGAGGGGATGTAAAGAAGGAGCTTGTGGGGAGCTGGATTGTTGGTGTTGGTGACTTGGATCAGTGTCTGCACCTCTGGAAATATCCTGGGGGTTATTCATCCGTTGACGAGTCAGCAAAGACCCTTCGCTCTGATCCTGTGAGTTTTTTGGTCTTGTATTTAGGCTGGTATCATTGGAAAGAAAATCTAATTTTTTTTTGCTGAACTTCCCCTCAGCCAGAGCACAATTGGAAAAAATGTAAATATTTGTTTCTTCTGGATATCAATTTCTATTAAGCTGTAACTTACCTTATTCCTTGCTGGGAAGGTTAAAAATTAGCACAGAAGGGAAGGCACTGGAACTGGATATGGAAACCTAAAATTTGAAAGGTTAGTGTGGTGCTGTCTGCCGTCAAAGCTTCCCCCCGTCTATGTTTCCACCAATGGAGACATTGCAAGGAAGAAGTGGGATTTCATATATCTCCAGCTGATTGAACCATATGTTGCTGCTTTTGTTTTTAATTATCATCCTTTACTATTTTACAGTTTAAGATGAGAGGAGATTGGATTGGATCTGGATCAGATAAATGGCATTACAAGAATCCCTTTTATGCAAGATTTAAACATTAGGAGACACAGTAAATGTTCTATTCATTGTTGATGTTGCTATATTTTTATGTGCTGAAATATAGGTGTTTACAAGAAAGTTTGATTTGTTCTGGCTTTGGATAGTTGGTTTAGGCTGCCAAGTTAAGCTTAAGTTAGTGATTCTTTGGCTAAAAAAAAAAAGGTAATTCATGAGTGCTATTTTCATGAAATGATCAGAAAAATTTAGTGATTCTCCCCCTACTTACGAAGATTAGAAAAAATGCTCCATTTTCATTGCAATATAGTCTCTTTTTTATGGCATGCTATCTTTAAAATTTTGTGCCTTGAAATCAAACATTGTCATGTTCATGGTATTCCTGTTTTGTGTAGGTCATATCCTCAGTAGCTCATCTGAATTGTCATCTTTGTCAGAGTGTCACAAAGTCAGCCATTTTATCATATAGATATTAATCCCAATAATTATCGTTCCAGTTAATTACTTTTCTTTCAGTGAACTGGTATGTGAAATGTCTCTTAACACATTGCTTTTAACCTATGGATCATGTAGAAAGCTGTGATTGTCCATCCAAGCATGGTGTACAGATCATCCTGAAGTGAATGTTACTGCTCTCTTAGGAGAGCAGTAACATTTTCAACATTTATAACATGTTGGAGACATGTTTATAACATGAAGAGCAGTAACATTTGGCATTCAGCATTTATAACAAATGTTGAATGCCAAAATGTCAACAGAGTTCATGTCAACTCTCAAAAAGGTTAAATGCATTATGATGTTAAATTAACAATTGTCATTTGGGAATAATATTGAATATTGGGAATAATTATTGTCACAATACTGAATGCATTGAAACATGGGACATTTTTAAATTATCAGGAAGTTCACATTTGAATGAGCTCCATGCTATCCTGTTCCTTGGGGTCCAGTTATGATGCAGATTTCTTCTTAACCTTTGGGGCAATCAATGTTATCTTGTCAACTGATCTGTCTGCATTAGCTGGGCTTGGTGGTTTTGATTGCATCTAATAAACCCACTGCTGTATAAATTCATCAAATCACAAATTCATTTTGCTGTACAAAATCAGTTGAATTGCAGCAGTAATCATGACTGACATGCCATCTGTGCACTCTCAGTAGGATGGCCAAATGTTGGTCATGCATGGATATTTATTCACTCTTGAATAGTGCATGAATAGCATGGATTGGAGGTGCCAGAAACTCAGTCTCTGTGCACAAGTTATAGTGTCCCTAATCAATGAACTGATGTCAGATTTAGCAAAGGTAAAAGATAGTCATGCACCTGTTCATTCCGACATGGAAAGAAGAAATCCATGATGGCAATAAATATTGACAAAGGCATTATTGTTTTGGAGACCTTATTGAAGGAGAAAAGAAAGTTCATTTTGACATTACTATTGCTTGACACTTTGAAATTCACAGTTTCATTCATTTGACCTAATTAGTAACTGAAAATGGGACTATTGATATTTTTAGTTTCAACATTATGTCTGGAGATGCTCTTTGATGTACTTTTAGGAATCAAGATTGTGTGCATCTGTGCTTTTTCAAGTAATGTGGTTATTCATAAGTTGGCATAAAGTATCCTGGAACTGGGGTATTTTTCCATAGAAGCTTTCTGGTCTGCAAAGTGTGGAAATGTTATTCCTGCCCTTTGCCTTTTCAGGAGTATGTGCAGCTGAAGCGAGAAAGGACCCCTTACCTCCGTTCCCGTCGGTGCCAATACCTCCTTCATTTCAGCTTCTGGCCTCCAATCACACCTAGGCAAGGGCATAATCTCTATGAGATTCGTTCATACACCCTGCGCCCTGGGAGCATGATTGAATGGGGCAACAACTGGGCACGGGGCATCAACTTTCGCCGATCCAATGAGGCCCCCTTTGCTGGGTTCTTCTCTCAAGTTGGGGTGCTTTATCAGGTCCATCACATTTGGTGTGAGTGGCTTTGCTATCCAGAATTAGCAATTTGCATCTCTTGGGAAGTATGGGGACAAATGTGGCTGCCTTGTATTATGATGATGAATTTATGTCATCTATAATCCATCCTTGGAATGAGTCTGACTGACAGTAGTTGCTGATATGTAGAGATCCACTCCTCACAGAAAATCTTCCATAGCATTGCACACCAATCACTGACTTTTCTTGAAATGAGTTCATGATGACTAGAATCAGGCCTGGTGTCTTGGTATGGCTACAGAAGTTCTGTTCTTATTGCTTATTCCAACATTTTCATAATTTATATTGGTATTGTTGCTGTTGGCAGTTCCATGATAATACCATTTATATCTAATGTAACACTGCTTACCTTTTCTATTTCCAGGAATTCCATTGCTCCATACTGTATTCCCAAATTTCAAACATGAAATTGAAACAAATTGAAACAAATGTCAATTTTGCAGCCCTATACAGGACTTGCTGTATTTGTATTGTTTTTGCTTATGCAGTGTATTCAAGCTTACTGAGTCGGAAGGAGACACGGGAGGTGGCGTGGCAGCAGCCAGGCTGGGATCGTTGTGTCTCCCACACTGTCCCACTCATCAAGCACATGGAATCTCGCATCCTCCTCCCAACCCCATTTTCTCCAACACAGTAGATTAATTTTATCTGTGCTCCTTGTGATGATGGTGATGTTCCCATAGAGTATGGAATGTTATTTGATGCCCCTTACTCATCTTTATTGAATATTTCTTGGTCTTTCATGCCTGGTCAATTCCCAAGCTGACTGGTGAGGAAGCTCAAAAGGGGTCTTGACCCTCTTTGGCATCTGGATGATGCTCTCAGCTATTTTTGCTTGAGGATTTACTAGTGACTTGTGGCTTTTTTTTTAAATCCAGCAGAAGGGCATGCATGCTGTGATGTGTTTTCTGGTTTAACCAAAGATAATTTTTAAAATTATTTTTGAAAATTGAATAAGCCCCGTTTTCACACTTTGAGGCAAATACTGATGTTGACTTTTTTATGAACAGGCTGCTGCTACCTGTCATTAATGCTGTGATTCCTGTACAGAAATTCATTGAACATGATTAATATTTGGTGTAACAGTCACATTTGCAAACCTGGTATATGGTTCATGGGTTCTTATAGCTGAGCAAACCAAGTGAATCCTTTTTTTACTTTGTGTCAGATGTGAGAGAGACAGGTGATATTGTACAGCAGCATGCAAATATGTAGGTGTGTTGGGGCCTTTCCTTGCAGATTGTGAACTTATGGAGCTCACTATGAACATGATCCTTTTCCTTGTTCTTTCTATTGCACCATTTCCAAGCATAGGTGAGTAACATCTCTTCCTGTAGCTACTTTAAAATTCAGTTGATATTCGATTTCCAATTGTAAAAGTCCAGAAATTGCCCATGCCTGTATCAATCTTGATCAAATATGGCTTGCAGAGAAGATTAAAAAGTCAGTATCTATAGCATATATGTCAAAGGTGCAATATGGAACTGACCTGAAAGTGTGTCTGCTTTCTGGATCGCCTGGTTGGATCAGTTTTGCTGAGGACTTGTCTAGGGTTATGCTCCAGTGGTTCAATTTTAATATACACATGCTTGACAATTGTAAAATTCTTCAACTATTCCTCTAGGATTAGTTACTTTTTCAGCTGAGTTCGTTTTCTTGTTGATTTGATATTCCTGGGCAGTGGTGGTAATTTAGGTCATGCCAGTTATAGTGATTTTTATTGATATTGTTCTTATTGGTGATATTTCAGCTATACTTGATATCATTTTTTAGCATCATGCTGACCCTTCTTGATTACTTCTTCTTGATTCTTGTTCAATGATAAATACTGTACTTTTATCCTACTCACTACCATTTTGTCAGCCATTCTGTTCACTAGCAGTGCTGCCAATTCATGCATGTGAACATGATCAGTGAAAAAAAATTGCAAAGATCTTAATATCTAAGTTCTATTAGTCTATGTAACATATAACTGAACCTTAGAAAACTTTTCTGGCAATATTTTGATTCAACCTTGCATAATAAATGTTTGGGGAGACAAGGGTGTGCAAATTCATAAAATGGTTATAAAAGACACATATCAGCAAATCGCACCTCCAGGCGAGTTGCAGTGCATTGATTCTGAAGATGCAGTAGCACAGAGATCTGTGTTATCACCTAATTGATAGATATGCACTGGCAAATCAGGACAGATGGAGTGGGAAAAAAAGTGATACGTGGCAGAGGTGGAAGGTGAGTACACCATATAGGATGATAGATGCAGAATATCATGAGTCCAGACATCAGCCCAATCTATGTTGTCATTCGTAGCTGCTCTCTTGCATTTTCACCTGTGGATCCATCTCTTGCAAGGGCGGGAAGGAAACTTACATCTTTAATAATTGAAAAACACCTTGAAAGAAGCTGAAGCTGTACTTGTGAATTGAGTCATGAATAAAAATTCTGTTGCTATGTTGCTAAACAATGTTGCTCACAAAGAGTTGGTGCTGTGGTGAAAAGATATGGTGAGAAGACTTCACTTTTTTGTAATTCAGTCCTTCAGAAGAGAGAACTAGATTTCTTGCCCCATAAATGAGCATATTGTTGTATTGCAGGAGAGGTAGTTGTGGATGATGTGGAAGAGCCAAAATGGGATTTTCTCCTTGGCTAGGATTGACATATTGCTTCTATGTAGTTAAATGCAGAACTGTAGTAACCAAAAAGGCACCTCACAATTCATGGTTTGTGGATTTCAGTTCCATGAATAAATAATGAAGGAGATGAGCAATTGCATCAGATGTTGATCTTTCCTGATTATTGGTGAACTGTAGAGGGTGAGATAATATGGCGTGATGATCGTTTAACTGGTCAAGAAGAAAATATGTAGGAATGCAGATCAATATAAATTTAATATAACCATGATAGGGTTGCTTAACCCTTAAACAGTTACTGACATGTATATATGAATTGTGAATTAGCCAAACAGCTATGTCATCCATATACTCCACATGCTACTGTTCAGAAACTCACCCTTGAAAGGGTTAAATTGGAAGCTTATTCCTCCTGTACCAATCATCCCCATGCCCTCAGTCTCTCTGTATTCTACCCCCTTCGCACCCCATCTTGCTCAACCTCCATAGAGGATTGTGCCCTGGGGGGAAGGGGGGTGTGACCCATTCTTCAAATGTTCTCTTTTGTGGTACATCAATGCTCAACTGCTGTAAGCCAGGAAAAGGGGTGTCCAGGTGGAGGCTCACTTCTGAGCCAGGCTTTGGATAGCTCATCTTTATCATCAGGAATGGGAGGGCAGAGTGACAACATAGTTTCTCCTTGGAGAATAGTATTGTGTGTTCCTTGATGCTCCTTTTATAGCAAGATAATGTTTCATTGTATTTTGTGTCATGTTTGTAGGGTTGAGGTGCCACTGTGGATATTGTGGCAAGGAGAACTATACATGTGAGACCAATGGGGGCATGTGCGTTGCATCGGCCAACTGGAACCTTGAGACCAATGTGGTTTCTCGATATTACTGGTTGGTTTCACACATCCTTTCCACCATCTCTTTCATCTGGACTTGTTCAGCAATAAACTTTTCTTTCTTCATTCATCCTGCATTTATGCCTACCCATATCCTTGCATTGCCATAATTAAGTAATGTACAATATCTCCGATTCCCAGGTGCTTGGAAAAGGAGCATGTGGAACCACCAGGCAATCCCCTTGCTTGTCTAGTGTCCAAGGAAAACAGTCATCACATGAAGATCCAGTGCTGTGCCCACACGGACATGTGCAATGAGAATCTCTTAAAAGGTATCTCTTTTGTCAGGCTCTTTTTTTAAGAAGCACACAGGTACTTGCAGGAACTAGAAAAAGCATGAGTATGAAGTGTAAACCTGATGAAAGTCTTTCATTATGATTCATTGCATCTGCAGCATCAAAATCAAATAAGTCGGCTAATTTTGCAAGCTTACTTACAATTTAGCTTGCTGGCTCACTCACTCATTTTTGTCTCAATTCTTGCTTATTGTGATTATAGTGCGTTTGTCAAATCCAAAGCAAAAATGAAATGTTGGGAAGAATGAACCAGTAGTTGTTTTTCTTTGGTGCTTTGTTTTTAACAGTTCTCAAATATGATGCACAAGTATTTTTTAAAATATCCATATGAACTTTCATCTTCCTTTGGGTCAGTTAATCTATGATTCAATTCATTTTAGGATATTCAACTCATCTTTTGTATGTTTGCACTGTATACTGGTTGCCCCCTAACAAAGGAAGCCCTATCCATTATTGCATTATTGGGATAGCAGTGGCACCTATGCCATGAAAACATTGTTTTGAATGAAATATGATTTATCCTTATTTCCCTAATGCAGAATTTTGCTATTTTCTTCTTTCTAGTCTATGATTACCTGCAATTGAGTGAGCCCCTGCCCCATTGTGCACTGCAATGAGTCAAGGAGCATGATTTGCCCACAATCAACTTTGCCTTTTTAATTCTTCAATGCTCCTGGCTTTTCCTTAGTTTGTATTTTCTTGCCACACACCCCATGCATATTGATCAAGAAGTTCATGATTGAGGTTACTGGGTGGCCACATGTGAAAATAATAACTTTTGCACTCTGTTTTGCAGGAAGTTAACAATGCCCAACATTGGAAGACATTGCCTGGCAAAAAATTAAAAAATAATAATTTTTTGAGAGAAATGCAAACCTTGTATGGGTATTTTCAACCGAAACAATATCCAGAAAAATGAACAGAGGAATAATAGTTTATTGGCAAGCCATGCCCCTCAGCTCATTGCTGTGCACAATTGCAAGGTGCCATTAATAGAACAGAGGAAATGTTGAATATTTGTATTAATGAAATTAAGGATAAATTAGTTATCACTTAGAACAACTTTTAAAAAAAATAACTGCTGCTCAGTTCATTATGATCACATGGGATGCTAGGGGCTTTCATTCATTTTTTGTTGAGCCACCCTGTAGATTCCAGCTTTCTCCATTGTCCTACCAAAGAAGGAAAGAAACATGAAATTAGCACACTTAGGATTAAATTTAAGTACTATTAAGTAGACACTGTCTGTGGTTTGTTTGAAAACTACATGTACCACATGAGGCATAAAGATGTTGGACTCCTGGAAATTGTTTGCCATTTGTGAAATATTAGGTAGCACTAGGAGGCATTTCTTGTAAATACTTCAATCTATACTCTAAACATACCATTAATTTGGTGATTTTATCCTTAGCCATTTCACCCTTTCAGTGATTTCACGAAAGTAACTTAAGTTACTTTTATTCTCATGTGTACACTGCAATGCCGAACTTAGGACCTGTGGCATTGAATAAGAGGGACTATTCTTTAGAAAGCTTTTTTTCTTTTGCACTTTGGAATCTGTTGAGCAGATGTCTGTCTCATCTTGATATCTCTAGATACTTACAGCTAGGATTTAAACAGTCCTTTATATTTCATCTTGAAAAATGATGGCTAATAAGCACAGTCAAAGCTTATTTTATTGTAGAACTTCATCCCTCTGATGAACCAGTTTTTCTGGCTTGTGAATCATTCTGTTAGTGAGAGTTCTTATATCCTCTGGCACAAAATTCTTGTAAAATTTGTGCTCCACCACCCCTCACTATTTTAAAAGACTTGAATCACTGCCTCATCTTCCACTGAGAGCACTATTTAATGGAGAATATATGGAGAAATGACCTGAAAATAAAGTAAACTTCATGCTTCTACCATTTCTGTGCCAGTACTTTCCCATGTGCCAAAAGTTGAAACTCACCAAGTTGATATTGCAAAGTCCCTCATGATAAAATACTTGAAGAGAAATGGGCTAGATTTTTGGTATTTTTTAGAGGATAAAGGTAAGTAATTTCAAAATAAAAAAGTTTAATCTCTTTGCTGTCAAAACATAACAGAAGTTCAAGGGACAATGTATTTTGAGTGCAGCATGAACTTGGTTCGATTTGAATTCTTGTAAAAGATATGCCTAGAATTTTATGAAAGTAAAAAGTCATGAAGCTAGGTTTTATCAGCTGCTTAAAGTTATGCTGTAAATGTCATAGTGTACAGCTTAGACCCCCTTGCATGAACTCTAAGCCTTGTGCATTTCTCTTGCCTCCTTTGATGTTAGAGCAGCTCAAAAGTGTGTCCTGAGGTTGATTCATGCCTACATCCCTTATATGCCTCTCATAGTTGGCTAAAAATGCCAGTGCCATGGTTGACTGCAGTGTATGTGGAGCATCTCCATCAGCCTACAATAGTTGCATGTTGCTTTTTAAGGCTTGATTGAAAAATGCCAACATGAATTGCAGCTGCGTTTTATGTTGGCGTTTGTCACTATCCCATGAAATCATCCCATTTAATCACATAGGTGAATCTGTTGGGTTCATGATGGTCAAGCTTTTTTGAAGGTTGGAAACTCTTGGGAGATATGATGTTTATTCTGGAGCATGTCTGAGACTGACGCTGAAGTGAAATTGGTGACCGTAAATTAAGCATAACTCAGCATTATGACCAGCTTATTATTTTCTGAACATCCTTGTATTACTTCTGCTGCATCATTTCAGCAATGAAAAATTGGTTCCCATTTTTCATGTAATGTTAAATGTAACTCAATAATTGATGGTAAATTTCATATGGTTGACACCACTAGTTTGATGACATGAAGTAATTTGAGACTACTTATTTAAATAGATTGGCCAAGTGAAGATCAGCTGGCAGAGGGGAAGAGAATCAAGGCTGATAAGAATACAGAGCATCTTCTCCTTGGCTTGTGGATTGGAATCCCATTGGCTGTCCTCCTTGTCTGCATTGTCAGCCTTGCCACCTTCTGCATCTTGAGGCATCGAGTGAGACGACAGGAAGAAAAAGGCAATACTGGGAAGATTGGCGAGGGGAGGGTTGTGTCCCCCCGCACCTGGCGACCTCCCAAGCCCTGCTATGTATCCTTGGACAGTGGGAAGGAGAATGCAGAAGATCGCCCATTCCTACCTCATCACCACTGTGACCACCACTCAGATAGCCTGCGGGACACAGTGCTGGATGTCACTTCCTCGTCCTCTGGTTCCGGCCTCCCGATCCTGGTGCAACGGAGCATCTCTAGGCAAATCCAACTGGTGGAGATCGCTGGTACCGGCCGGTTTGGTGAGGTGTGGCGGGGACAGTGGCGGGGTGAGAATGTTGCTGTCAAGATCTTCTCCTCACGGGAGGAGCAGAGTTGGGCACGGGAGGTGCAGATCTACCAGACAGCAATGCTGCGGCATGAGAACATCCTTGGCTTCATTGCTGCCGATAACAAAGGTCTGGTTCATCAAATGTCTAAGTGTGTATGATACTCAAAAACCTGTAAAGCACAATGATGTTAAAGTGGGGTCAGAATGCTTGTTATATTACCCAAACCTTCAGAGTCAGGGAAATGGACAGATATGCATAAGCAATTACCAAAGAAGGAAGTAGATGAGGACATAGGGATGAGTTTGGTCTGGGGAATTGTGTTTCCCCTTTAATCTGGACCAGAGAAATTTTCACATATTTGAGGGAAACCTGCTGTTTTTTATTTTTTAAAAATCTTTCTTGGTTTAGATGCAGTTGTTCTTGAACTTGTCAACTGGAAGCTGTCTTTGTCTTTTTTTTCTTTTGTTTTCTCATTGTTTGCTATAAGAAGAATATAGAAAAGGGTGGATTTAGCATCATAATGTTTCCAGCAGCCTTAAACAGCATCCATCAAGGACTGCTGACTCCTGTGTTATTAATCATGCATTTGTTTTAGCCATTCCTCCTCTCTTTAATTGTTACTGCACTGTTAGTGAGTCCCATGCTAATGATCAATGAAGGATCTTGGTCAACATATAAGTACTATACTGGTGGTATACAAAATATATTGGTTTTGTGGCTGAAACTATTTCTTCTTATTTAGAGAAAGGTTGAATTTTGATTGATGATGCTTGCAAATGCAGACAATGGGACATGGACACAGCTGTGGCTGATCACAGACTACCATGCCCATGGGTCCCTTTTTGACTTCCTGAGTGGACATACAGTTTCCCCTGCTGATATGCTTCGGATGTCCTGGTCCATTGCCACTGGCCTAGCTCACCTTCACATGGAGATCATCGGCACACAAGGTAGCCTCATCCCACTTATGCTTTTTCTAGAGATACAATGATATTTTATCGATTATCGGTATCGGCCGATATTGGGTGAAACCGATATATCGGCTCAAAACGATAATGACCTACCGATAACCGATATTGAAATTGCACCTGAAGTATGCCAAACGCTAAGCAAATTATGAATATTCTCTCCTTTTTCTCATTTGTGTTTTTCACTTGAGTTAGACGACATTTCAATTGACTCGAACACACGTTCATTGGACGTTCCTCATGCATGAGTGTCGAAGTCAAGTGAAAAAATGTCCGACTCAAGTGAAAAACACTCCACAAGGTTGAAAAATGCCTAAATTACATGTTTTCATTATAAAAAAAAATCATTAGGCTGCTGAAAATGTAAGCATTTTTCCCCTTTGGATTGTGAGGGGCAGCAAGGCACTGAAGCTTCACCCCTATTTGACCGTGTCTCCCAGTGATAACTTGCGACCTGTTGCAAGAACGTAATGTAGGCATATTCGACTGCGATGAAGGTCTAAAATCTTTTCGCGTTTGGTTTAACTGCCATAATAATCTGGGGATATGCCACCTGGATTCGACCTTCACTGCTGCGGTTCCTCAACGTCCCACATCTAGAGATGGGAGCGCTCCGTGTTCGGGTACTCCCTTCCCAAGCACGCTGACGCTTGAACTCGGAAATATACACCTGATTTGGCTAGGTTCGAGCCCAGGCCACCCTGTCACGGGACGTAAACTCATTACCCAGTCACCCGACTGAGTGGGAAGCGTAATCTACATAACTCGGCCTAATGCCTCTATCATAGCCTACTCCGTGCTTTCTGCGAAATGGACATCGCTCGTGTTTGCGCGAAGAAACTAGGCCTAGATGGATCCCAAAACCTCAGTACAAAAATCACTCGACAATATTCTGATTTCAACTCTTTCATGCCCACAGGTTCCATTTGAAACCACCGATTTTCAAGAATTTTATTATCTTTATATTCATGCTAGGACTGTGCCGATGGCCACATTTGACCGGTAGACTGATGGCGCATTTTGAACTCATACCCATCGACCGGTGCCGGAGCCGGAGTCGATTATGGTCTATACTCTAATGATTGAGAAAGTAACATAAAATCGCATACGAATTCTAATAGGCATATTTAGAAGCTTTGTGATACTTATCAATGAGTCTCCTGAAAACGATTGAGACCACTTTTAGACCTTTCCAGCCTGTCTGTCTGCGACCGTCGGTGATTAGCTGGTTACCTATTGCTGATAAGAGCGCTTAACGGCACTACTCGCTATTGCACAGCATGAAAGGAGGTGTAATGATTTCATCGTCTTTACCGCAGTTTTCCTCCACCGGGCTGAAATACAGTAAGTCCTCTATTTACGACGTTTTATCAGAACGACGCAACGTATATGGGGCATATGTTATCGACGTTATATCAAAACGACGTAAGTTAAATCGGGGACTCCCTGTATAATCCGATCGATATTTTTTTCTGGGAGAGGACGGCAAGGGAGGCTTTCAGCGAGACAGGAGGACAGGTGTCGTATGGTATTTTCCCCCCCTACATTAATGGTAATGAAGAAACTTCGCCTCGTTCCTCGGCGGCTATTTCTTCCGTGCCTTTTAGTGTTCCTTTTACGCCTCTATCTGCCTCGCTAACGTCTAAGCCAGTGTTGACTCCTCAGGGCGATCTTCAAAGCCACATCAAAGATTCAAGCCCCCGGAGGTAAAAGGCAAATGAAGGCAGCTGACATGAATGCAGGGAGGAATAAACATCGTCCTTTGCAGGAGGATGTTCTGCTATGATTTCGTTTGATCAGTTTCTGACAATAAAGATTATATTCTCTTTTGGCAATCAACAAACTTACAATTCTACTTTTAAAACGAACTCCTTTCATTTCCATTAAGGGAGGTGGGGGAAAATATCATACAACACCGGCGCGAAGCTGCATTTACACACTCAGGTAGTTTTTTTTTTTCACTTTGCCCTGCTTCAGCATCGGCAGCCTCCAATCCTACCAATAGCCATGGCGTCAATGGTGCAACACCAGAGGGCAATCTCTGTGGTTGTCAATACGTCGGTGCAGCCCTAATTTATTTTAAATGTTTATAAAGTCATAATTTAAATTTAAATAGTTATATCATAATGTTATTACATAAATATCTTTGTAGATAAAATACATTTGTAATATAATAAATATGATTAATTGCCTTAGGAATTTTCCTGAAAAGTAGTTATGTTCACATTTCTTCTGCATAGCAAATTACCTGATGATAAGCTAACAATCTGTCAGTTATGCCCCTCTGGGTGTCCATTAGAGATTAGAAGGAGGGAACTTCAGGGAAGGAGGGACATTCTTGACGTTTTCTTGACTGAGTGCTACTTTGAAAAAAACAAAAGTACCGTAATTGCTGTTCTACCTTCTTGCAAGTTCTATGATGGTACATAGGAAAGAAAATGCCTGATGCAAATCCAATGTAATATTTTAAAATCTACATTGAAGAGCCTTGCTTCAGCATGAACAAAACATTTCCTCTCACTATTGGAGAAATGGCAAAAGCATGAGGTGCACCTCAAGCTTTCTCCATCAGACCTGGTCCCAAATAAAACTTAATAAAACTTAAAATATTGCCTGAGGGTGGATTTTTGAATAGAGAGCTATCTGATAATGCAGCTTTATTCTGGGGAAAATACATGATATTTCCTGGAAGCAGCATTATCAGATAGTTCTCTGTTCAAAAATCAACCCTGACTGTGTGATTGTAGATATAGATATCGGTGTCAGATATCAGCCAAAATTCAATATCGTTGCATCTCTAGTTTTTTCATCACTTTTTGGTTTGGCAGACCCTTCACATACTTAATGAAAAATGAAGACAATATTTTATTTCAAAAGATAAAGTCTGCCAGAAGCACATTGGACAAGCAATGTTTCTTAATGGCATGGATTGGGGGGAGGGGGGATTGGTAGGCATTTCAATCCATTGTCCACTTCAAGGCCATCTTTATCTGCTACATGCTGCCAATGGAACCTCATATTTATTTCTTTTGACTCCATTCATCCAGTTAGTTCAGTTCTCCTGAATATCATTTCAGGATGTGTATTTTAAGCATTTTATGTATCTTCTTGACACAATTGCCTCCAGCTCTACTTTTTCTTTTTTATTCTATCCCACCTGTAGGGAAGCCTGCCATAGCCCATCGTGATCTGAAGAGCAAGAACATTCTTGTAAAGGAGAATGGAGTGTGTGCTATCGCAGACCTTGGCATGGCAGTGCGCCATGACACCTCCACTGACACCGTTGACATTGCCCCCAACCATCGTGTTGGCACCAAGCGATACATGGCTCCTGAGGTGAGATGATGAGATATACATTTGCTATCAGAAGTGGGAACATGATGCATTGAGATTGGGTTCTGGAGAGATATGTGTATGTATTGATATTTCTAAGTGTGTGCAACAGATCTAAAAAATGTTATGCTTATATTTTTTTGCAGTGAAGCAGCACCAGAAATTAAACTGATGTCCAGTGATTCTTATTGTGTGCAGTCTCTGGACAATGGGAAGAAGTTTTGAATCTTCTGTCTGAGTGTTTGAGTGGGAGTCTGTACACTGAGCAGCTTGCTAACAAATTATATTAAGATACATGGTTCAATCATTGAGATCTGGATGCTGCAGATCTTCAACAACTCATGCCTCAGCAGTGATTTGATTTAGTCGCTTGCAAAACTCAGGGGCACACTGATGCAGAATGTCCATTGATGCATTACAATCCACCGTGCTTATGGGTGGCAATCAATGGTGATTTATGAGGCATTCTACACTTGGTGTGCAGATTACCCCATAAATATCTGTGAGAACAGACCAGTTAAAACTGATTTTCACCAGTCCTGAGACTACATACTATGAGCTATTTTGGACATTCATATGATTACTGGTGCCTGCTTGGTGACCAAAAAACAATTTTGTGTGTTTTTCATTCACCCTTTATATTTTTTGCATATCCTTGAAAGAAAATGCATTAGATAATGAATGAATGGCACTGATGATCTTTGAAATTGCATGGACATGTATTAATCAGTATGGATGTAGGTCAATTAAGTAAAAATGGATTTAAAATTTTTTATGGCTCATTCAATAGGATCTGAAAGAGTATATTGATTATGAATATACAGGGTGGGTCAAAAAAAAACAAAGCTATAATTTTGGTAAGTTGTCAATCTGATTGTATGTTGCCATTTATGATGAGATTTGGTGGACACAGGGTGACTCAATTAGGGTATGTGTGGTAAGTTTCAAATAAAAATTCCAAAAACAGGTTGGCATTTAATTTACATTTCATCACCAAAAAAGTAAGTGTTCATTTTCTCTTTCAGCTTAAAATCTTCCACAACTGACAAAAACAAAAAAGCAAGCAAACAGAACACAAACTGATGCACAAATGCCAAACATGGAAGCCCACAATTTGGTTTAGGGACGTTCATTTTAACCAAAATGGTGCTCAATGTGACCTCAATGTGTGCTCCATTCTGTTGAAAACTAGCCTCTAATCTGGGACACCATAGATCAATGGCTTGGTCACTTAACCTTTGAAGCAGTGCCTCCCAATTTGCCTATGTAGCATCATGCAGGGATGGAAGTTCATGTATTCGGACCTTCCTTTCATCCCAGCCTCAAGCCAGAAAGCTGAAATCTGATACACAAACTCCAATAGTGTCATCCTATAAGCCTATTAATTCTAAAAGAGATTAACAACTCACCAAAAATGACAGCTTTGTTTTTTTTTTTGGCCCACCTTGTATGTTTGTGGTGTGATTGCTCCTGTGCTTAGAGAAATCCTGATTTCAAGATAGCATTGTTTCTAGAGAGTGGTGAAGTTATGATAAACTCCTTTGCTCGGAGATGTACAGGGTGAGGCATAATAACTCATACAAATTTCAATATAGGCTCATAAGGTTCTGTGTCAGTTTCACTCAATCTACTTTTATCCTTTTGTTCCAAACAACCAATATGAAGGGCATTCAAAAGTTTCTTGCATCATCTATATCTAGCCATGTTCAGGGGATGGTTAGGTCATGTCTTGACAGGTTGAGAGTAGGTAAGTGACTATACATTGCATCATTGCTGTGTATTTGATTTTATTTGAGTTCTGACATGTTAAAGTGTCCATTCAGTGTTGACATGGAATATCTGAAATTCAAGATTTGTGAGTGTGAAGTTTCCGATGAAGCTTAAGTGGGAAAAGAAGCAGATACTTGAGGCTCTGCAGAACGTTTATGATGACAGTGCTCCATCACAGGTTACAGTGTATGACTGGATTCACCCCTTCAAGGAAGGGAGAGAGAGCCTTGAAGATGACCTATGCAGTGGTTGGCCAGCAGCCTCAGTCACTGATACGGAAATCAATGCCATACAAGTCATGGTGGAAGAAGACTGACGAATCAAGGTGGAGGTGATAGCAGAGACTAGGAATATTTGCTGGATCAGTGCATTCCATACCAAAGGAGAAGCTGGGTCTGAGCAAGCTTTGTGCATGTTGGGTACCAAAAGCATTGCATCCAGATCAGAAGAATCAGAGCAGATTGCAGTGTGAATTTTTAAAACAAGTTTGATGCTGATCCTGACTCCTTCATGACTCAAATTGTAACTGGGGATGAGACCTGGATCTACCTCTATGATCCTGAGACTAAGTTACTGTTGGAGCAGTGGCTTCCAACAGATGCAAGGGGACCCATCCAATTCAAAATTGAGAAGTCAGCTATGAAGCTTATGGTGACTGTTTTCTGGGTTGCAGAAGCAGTAATCATGGTGGACTTCCTCGATAAAAGTAAAACAGTCACAGGTGCCTTCTATGAGCAGATGCTTCATAAGCTTTGTGCGGCTCTGCAATAGAAGAGGCCAGGAAAGTTGCATCAGCATGTCCTGTTTCACTGTGACAATGCACCTACACGCAGGAGCAAACTTTCAAGGGCTGCCCTTTGCTAGTTTTTTTTTATCATTTAAAATGTGTACTGGGACGAACACACAAGGGCAAATGCCAGAAGCGGCAACAGAGTGTAGAGGAAAGGGAATTTTAATTGGACATCCCTGATGTCATTGCCCCACCTTCCCACCATAATGTATCCCATTTTCACGGGCCTAGGGAAGGTGGTGGCAACTTCGATGCCACTCTGGCCATAGGCCATTGCTGCACATTGGGTTGCCAGGGCCGATGTGGCAGGTGCTATTGAGGTGCACCAAGTCCCTACCTCTCACATATTGGAGTGCAGAGTGGCCTATGCTTCAGCCCAACAGAAAGCAGGTAGTACCCAAAAGCAACTGGGTGAACTGTCGGCCCAGGAGAATACTGTCTACTGCTGGTCGGATTCGAACCTGGACCTCTCGCATGCGCCTGGGCCCCTATCCACTGAGCTATGGTGATGCAGTTCCCTTTCCAAGTTTTGCTGGGAATTGCTACCTCATCCGCCTTATAGTCCAGACCTTGCCCCTTCCTACTTTTCCTTTTTTCAAAACTGAAGCAGAATATCAAGGGGAAATGGTGGGACTCAATGACCACTCTTAGGTCCACCATCCTCAACTGGCTTGAGTCCAAAGACAAGCATCTACAGAGAAGGCATGGAGAGCTGGAGAGATAATGGAGAAATGTTTCAACATAGAAGGGGACTACATAGGTTGTGAGTGTGTAATAAATGTGAGATGTAAGAAACTTTTTTAATGCATACACAGGCAAAACTTCAATCATGTGCTGTTTTTTTTATTTGCATTATGGATGCCTTGAAGCTAAAGTGTGCTGCTTTTATCAAGCTGTTCAAGAAATGCCAGGTCCCAGGAAGCCACTTTCATGATCTCCAGTTCTGTGTATATAGGAAGGACTTTGTCATTCTCAATGGACTGAAGATGTCAATGTCAGGGAGCACACTGGCTCCCCATGTTCTGCTTGCATGGTGAAGTTCCTCAAGAATGTGAAGGCACAGATCTGGGGCAACCTTGGCATTCAGGCCAAAAATTGTCAATTGAGATGGATACATTAGACATGACCATGTGGTGAGTGCTGAAACAGGTCCTTGGGATGAAGCCTTAAATATGTGAAAGACTCAAATGCTGATCCAACAGGCAAAGCTTCCCAGAAAGGAAAAGTCAGGCTTTGCTTCAATGGTTCATATTTGACCAAGTGGAGCACCCAGAAAAACAGGGTCTATTGAGAAAATGTCAAGAAATTGCCTGAGGGTGCAAACAAGATGCTAAAAGGACACTTCATCTGCTGTCAACGATGGTTTGGGCTGGAGTACCTGCCTTGGGCAAGACTTCCCTGGATTTTGTGGATCAATGGGTCAAAATTTGGAAGAAAAACTATGTGGCAGACATTCTTGAGCTTCATGTGTGTGACCCTTGATCCAAAATTCGTTAAATAATGAAGAATGGTTGTTCTGGAAGGATTCAGCACTAGCCCACGAGGCCAATAGGACCCAAAACTGGTGCCAGGACAATTTCCTGGGCTTCATGTCAGCTGCTGGATGACTTGCTTCCTTGCCTGATCTCAGTCCACTGCACTACTATGTTTGGTCAATTTGAGCTGATGGCCTTTACTTGCATATGTGGAGTCTCTGAGGGCTTGCAGCAATCTCCAAATAGAAGAGGTGTGTTCTGCAAACCATGACTGACAGGGAAGACTATCAGCCCATGTGAAGGTCAATTTGGTGTTTTTGAAGCTCATTGATTCATATGGGAAGTGTATGTTGTAGTGAAGAGTTTTCTTCAAGTATTAAGCCCCTTTGTCTCCAAGTCAGTATTCATGAATCATAAGTATTTATATGAGATATTATGACTCCTCACCCTGTTCATGGCCATTGCTGCTGTGAGTAGATATTTACTAGTGGAGGTGATGGTTTTGCTGAGAGCAAGGGTGCTTCCTAATTTTTATAGGTTGAGCATATTTGCAGCTGCTTTTAATTGCATCCAGTTTTTTTGTTTTTCTTATTCAAGTGCTGTGTTATCATTTTTTATTATAGGGGTGTTATTGGGATGCTTTTTATCTCTGATTATTGCAATGCATTTGACTGGGAATTAGTTTTGCCAATGCTGGAACATACCATTGATGCCATTTGCTTTTTCTGCAGGTCCTGGATGAATCCATGAACATGGACCACTTTGAGAGCTTCAAGCGAGCTGATATATACTCACTTGGCTTGGTGTACTGGGAATTAGCAAGAAGATGCATTGTTAAGGGTCTGTGTCTACTGGTTACTTCCTGTTTAATGTAATTACGCAGTGGCAGCTCATATTATTTAGTGCTAATGGTTTGTCCATGGAGAGGGGGTAGGCAATGCCCTCACCTGCCTACCCCCTCTCCATCGACAAACCACTAGCTCTAAATACAAGGGATTTCTCAAAAGTTCTGCCAGTAGCCCACAAGTTGTCATCGGAGGCGGCCGCAAAGTGCTACTTTGGGGCTACTGGCAGAACTTTTGAGAAATCCCTCGTATCATGATCTGCCTCTGTAATTATGATTTGATGCATTTCAATTCCTTTTTTTGGGATACTATCATACTGCTTATTTAGCCATCAATCTTACAGGTTCAGAATGTTATCATCAGGATGGGTATTTCACCAATGCTCTTGAGTTTTTAAATGAGCTGTAGTGCATTCAAAGAATCCACACAGGATATGTACGTAAATGTATGTGTTCTTACCATGAGAACTGGATATAAATACTAATGCTAAATTCTTGAAACCCTGTATTTAAATTGGAGCTTGACTGAGATATTGGTTGCCTATATAAATAGACTGATTTGAGCATATTGGCTATTATTCACATTGGTTCTTTCAAACCTTCTGAATTTTGCCTATATAAAAAGTGGAGTTCTGTGCACTCTATGCAGTAAAAGAAAATATGACTAGGACTAGCTTTCTGTGCCCTTATGGAAACCCTAATGTGTGATCTAGCTAATGTGGCATCGCCTGAGAGGTGAGGAATCACAGGTCTTTTGCTCTGCTTGTGTTCCTGGTCTGGCATATAGAGGCAGACCTTCACTCTAAGGTTAGGTTTGGCCAATGTTTTGCAGCATAACTTCATGCTGTACTCAGTACTCTAGCCTACAATTGTCTGAAAGTACATCATTTTACCTCTAGCCCTACCACTTTGTTATCCCTCCTATTTAGCCAGGCTCCTTCCCTTGGCTTAAACATAACATGAGGTATATTTACAGACCAAAGCATAATTTCAAGCCTGTTTATAGACTTGACAGTATCATAACTAGAGATGCAACAATATTGAATTTTGGTCGATATCCGATATCCAATAAGAAAAAGGAGAGAATATTCATCATTCGCTTTACATACTTAGCGTTTGGCATACTTCAGGTGTAATTTCAATATTGGTTATCAGCAGGTCATATATCGTTTTGAGCCAATATATCTGATTCACCCAATATCGGCTGATACCGATAACCGATAAAATATCGTTGCATCTCTAATCATAATGACCCTTTACATTTAAACCATAGAATTTCCATTTCTTGCCCAGCAAGCTTTAGACTGCAGGTGTAAGTGTTTTTGTTTTTCTCCCAGGTTATGCTGACCTGATGGGAACTGAACCCCCACAAAATAAAGATAAAAAAAACACACAAAGTAGGAGTTGTGCTATATTCATGACATTTTGGTATTGGAACTCTGAGCAACAAATTCTGACCCAGCCCAAAAGTCTGCCCCATACAACATAATTCAATGTAACAAGAAATCTGATCTGCCTTTTTCAACCAAATCAGTTAAATTCAGAGTTTGGTTGAATAGCGATGCATTGCTACCTCTACCATAGCCACTGTGCCTGACACATGACACATGCCCTCTTCCTGCAGCAACACATTTGTGTGCGGTTTGAGCTTTTGACAAGTTGTTTTCTGTGAAAATTTTCCCAACAACTGTTGAGAGAATGGAAGTGCTATTTCTCCTCCTATCTTCTGCTCCTATCTTCTGCAAAGATAAAGAAAGCAAGCCACCCACCCATGGGACCAGATGAGACACTGGATGGTGGTAGTGAAACATAAAAAAAGGCCAAATTTCTTAGAATGAGATCGTAGGATGCTGAATAGTAGGATGTGGAGGAAGGAACATCAAGACGTGTGAGGTGTGCAAAGCATTGACACAAAAAATCTCCTCTTCCCTTTTTTATTTGGAAAAAAGGTTTTTCCTTTAATCTTTTTCCTTACTCCTCAGGGGCTGAAGTGAAGATAACTGGAATGCATTCATTTTTCTTTGTAGGCTAGTCTATGGAAAGCTGTGACCCACTCCCTCAATATTTAGTGCCCTCATCATATAACATTCAGAACATGCTACCTCAAGGATTATCTCAGGCTTTGATAACTGATGGAGGTTTTCAAGGAATGCCTTGTATGGAAAAAGGATCATTAGTAACAACTGTTTTGGCTTTCATGGGTTTGCAGGAGAGGTGGAAGAGTATGAGTTGCCATACTATGATCTGGTCCCATGTGACCCAACAGTGGAAGAAATGAGGCAGGTGGTCTGCCTTGCAGGGCTTCGCCCCTCTATACCCCCACGCTGGAATCTCTCCCCTGTGAGTTCTATTTCCAAAACCTTTTTAGAGCTTTTACAACCAAGGACAGTAGCACTGTTCCATGATTGTGCTCAAAATTGAAACTTTTTAACCTTTTAGCACCCTGGTGGTTTTTTCATCACATGATCCCCAAATGGGAATCAGCTTTGACCATGAAATCTCACATGCAATTTCAATATTTCCTTTACTTGAAGAAATACACATATACAATACCTTGCTGCCTACTGAATACTGCCACCATTCAATAATGGGTTCAGGCCATTGTGCAAAGGGGGCCCAGCACAAGAAACACTTTATTACCATTTTATACTATGGCCATGCTCATGGGTGAGTCTTAACTTCTGGCAAGATTGTGTACACAAGTGTGACAATTTATAGCAATCCTTTCTCTTGACAATGCTTTCAGTTGGCAGTGGATGAAGTTCTTCCTCAATATATATGTATAAATTACTGAAAAGGTGTTGCTTACTTTGCTCTCAGGTGCTTCAGGGGTTTGCAAAAGTGATGCAAGAGTGCTGGTATCCCAATGCAGGAGCCCGTCTCACTGCCCTTCGGGTAAAGAAGACACTCTCACAGATGTCTCAGGACTGATTCTTTTGTTTGTTTTTTTGTTGTGTTTTTGTACAAAGTCTTCATACCATCATCTCAGTGGATGTGGGAAGCTTTCTCACTCTCAGAAAAGTATGGAAGTACTCATTCTCTTCATGACTGGTTCCTCTTGTTAGTTGGAATCTGGAGTCATACTGTGTGTGAGTCGAAGAGGTCATTTGTATTTTCTGTCAGCTTTCTCTTGTGCTGATAATTCCTAGATGGACTTGCTGAAGCCTTGTATATTAACTGGAGAGACCTGATTTCAAGACAAAAATGCTTCAATGGCCGTATGTGTATGCTGCCAAGCAGAGTTCCATATTTGAAGTGAATGGAGGCAAGAGACTGAAAATTTATTCAAAATTTTGCAGGCATTCCTATCAGGAATGCTGGGAGGTTGGTTTATATTGTGCTGCACTGCTTTTTATATATAAACATTTTTTTAAAATGTTGGGTGACTTTTTGGATGCCCTATAAATCTAGAATGCTATATATGAAAGTATTTCTGCTCAATTCTTTTTTTTTTTTGAGATGGAGCACCCTCATTTTGTTTCTGGGATTTGTTTGTGCTGGTCACAAGACAGTGTTTTGAAGGAAGAAAGAGGCACCCGGTGATGTGAATAGTATTGTTTGGATTGGTAATGTTTTGGCCTGCTGTTCTCAATTATACAAAATGCATCTGGAAGCAGTGCACATCAATGGGACTTGTGAAATTGTGCTCACTGGACAGTATTACTTTTCTGGATTGCCAAACATCTCCAGTCATTCCTGCAGCTTTGCTACTGGACCTACCCGAGTGACAACACAATCATTTGTGGATATGTGCATGGCTTGGTGCTGTTTGTGTTGACCATAGGCTAAAAGGCGTTTTTTGTTTTGTATTTGGAACTACTTTATTTTGTGTGCCTGCCATGATGAACAAGAGACTCCTGGAACACTGCAGACTCTTTCCTTTCAACCCCTATAGCCATGGTATGCTAATAGCAAATTTCCTGTCAGGTCTGTCAGTGTCTTCCACTGAGGGCCAGTCTCCTGGGGCTTTTTATTCAAATGCTTATTGGGGACTTCTGGATTTGAAGGATTCAGATATTGCAAACAGAACTAGGTACAGGTAATTGGTACAATACAAAAATAGATGTTGGAACATTGCAGGCTGTTTGAAAAATTTTTTTTTACTTCTCAGGGCTACTTCATGCTTTACAGGCTTAAGTATGTTGTGATTGTATTATAACATACGTGTCATTCCATGTCAGATCAACCAGAGATTTTGGTCGACCATCAGTGATTTGGCTGAAATTTGGTGAGACGGAACTCATAGAGGCAGGTGCGGAGGTGGTCATGGTCAAGGTCGACCTTCTGGCTCATACTTGGCAGTAAGAGATCGAAAATACACTGAATCTGCATGCAAGAAGGGAGACTATTTATAGGCGAAGCAGGAAAATTCTAGAAAATTTGTGAGGCTTCCTAATGAGAAAAGGTGAAAACTGCAAGAACTTTCCAGCCAACCCAATAGACCTAGCCAAAGAAAACACAAGAGGTCCATCAAATAAAAAATTAACATATTTGCATGGATAGGACCTTTGCTGTGGCTCATACAAAAGTCGCTGATCATCTGCAAGTCAATTTCCTTTTGCAACTCTAGCAAGCTTCTGCAGAAAAAAAAGTTCATGATGAAATAATTCATAAACCAGTTTTCAATTTCCTATAAATTTGGGATATGTATTCAAATAGCAAAAGAGCATTGTGATAACACCATGATATGAAAGAGGGACAAAAATCAATAAGTCTAACAGGAAGTCATACTCTTACAATAACATGCCATGCAAATGAGAAATTCGAAGGCAAGCAGTAAATGGAAGCAAATGATTGGAATTTTGATTGAGCAGGGATGAAGACAATGGGAAAATGTATAGAATGGCCCAATGGGCAGCTCATTGCCAGGGGCCACTTATACTGACAGGAATGATATGATGGGTAGACTGGTTTTACATAAGTTAGGATGGCTGGATTTGACTCATTCAATATGGTGAGGGCAGCCACATAGGACAAGTTTCTTTGTAGAAAGAGGTAGCCCCATTGCAGGGCTGGATTTAAGTTGTATGAGGAGGCACAGTAGGCAGGGTGGTGCTACATGGAGTGAGGTGGCCCAAGGGGCAGCCCCTTGGCCCTTCGTTGTAGGAAGTCATAGATGATCCCTGCCTGAGCCATAACATCATTCCCAGCCATAAAGGGGTCGATGGCACCCTCACGTGATTGGGCACCTGGGCGCATCATCGTTGGACCAAACACCATTGCCAGGTTGTGCAAGGACATCTTGTTTTCTGCCTCACGGGTGTGCACCCTGAAGAAAAAAACAAGTACAGGGTTACAATGAGGGATAGGAAGTAACAGAAGAGTCTATGAGTTAAAATCCTCTCCTGAATATTTTTTTTACTTTCACAGAAGCACTTACCACTTCTATGAGATGGGTCATTCCACACCAAATCAACACACAACAAAACATGACTCTCTGATTTTTTATTAAATTTAAACCAATGCTCTGTACTATGGAGAAAGTGCAATATCTGACATTTTTTTCTTCATTAGATCTTGAGATGAGGGGTTTTGAAAAATCTTCTACTTCGTGACTGAGTGGCACACCTATCCTTTAATAGTGTAATAACTTTGGCTATAGTACATGTAGAGAGATGCTTTATAGCTCTTTCGAAAGGTCTGTTCCTCCTCTTTCACAAGATATCCTACTCGTAGGTGCTATCTGAACCAGTAGCAGTCATAAAATAGATGCATTGAAATTTGAACACATTTTGCAAAAAATACCACATTTGGGATTTCCATTTAATTTGGCAGCCATATATCACTAAACATATAGAACATAGAACTTTTTGAGATTTTGACTTTTTTTTCACTGAAAAGTGAAAAAATTTATTTGAACTCTTAACATATAGGGCCATCAGGAAATTCTGGTAGGATATACCCCTCACACATCTATCTGCTCCTGCCTTCTTTGGTATTGGCACTTTAATGTTTTTCCGAAAATCCATTGGCATTACTCCTGTTTTGTACATGTCACATACCAGTTTGTCCATAGTCCTTTCTCCAGAGTACTTGATTAGCTCTGCCAAGATATCATCAATTCCTGCAGTTTTATTTGCCATCAAATCCCTTAGCACCTTGTGCCAAATACCAAAGAAGGCAGGAGCAGATAGATGTGATAATTACCGTACAATAAGCTTGACATCACATGCTTCGAAGATACTAACAAGAGTTATATACAGAAGAATAGAAACAAAACTGAAGAATTATTGACAGAAGATCAATTTGGGTTCAGAAGAAACGGGGCAAGAGAAACAATCCTGGCACTGAGAGTGATAGTAAAGAAGAGGATAATGAAAGAAAAGTGTACATATTTGGCTTTTGTCGACCTGGAAAAGCCTTTGACAATGTGGATTTGCATGGAATGTTCCAGACACTAAAGAAAATAAGAGTGAAGTACAGTGATACATGGATTACACTGGAATCAGATGGCAGAGGTGAGATGTGAAGAGTCAGAAGGAAGCAAGAATAAAGAAAGGAGTAAGGCAAGGATGTTCACTGTCACCTGTTTTTCAATGTACTGTATACAAAGAAAAGGCATTGAACAAACTCAGAGAAAGAATGGACATAAGAGTGACAATTCATGGAGAGAAAGTCAGCATGATTCATTTTGCAGACAACATCACAATATTAGTGGAGGAAGAAAAAGACTTAGAAAGGTTTTTAAATGAAATGGAGGGAGTTTTAAGGGGCTAATACAACATGAGAATAAATAGGAACAAAACAAAGGTGATGGTATGTGGAAGAAACCGGATGGAAAAACTGCAAGTAAGATTGGCAAATGAAGAGCTGGAGGCTGTTGATGAATTTTGCTACTTGGGAAGTAAGATAACAATGGATGGACGAAGTAGAAAGGAAATAGCAAGCAGAATAGGACAGGCTAAGAAGGCATTTTACCAAAAGAGGCAACTTGTGACATCAAGTTCTGTCAACCTAGAAGTTAGAAAGAAATTCTGGAGGACCTATGTATGGAGTGTGGCACTGCAGGGATGTGAATTGTGGACAATAGCAACTACGGAAAAGAGGATATTGGAGGCAATGGAAATGTGGTGTTACAGAAGGATGCTGAAGATTCCCTGGGTGGACAGAATAACAAATGAGGAGGTACTTGGAAGAGCACACAAAAAGAGAAGGATATGGAAAAGTATAGTACAAAGAAGAGACCGACTGATGGGACACATGTTGAGACATGAAGGGATGCTAAAGACCATAATTGAGGGGATGATAGAGGGAAAGAATTATAGAGGAAGATCTAGACTAAGGTATACACAGCAGCTCATACGAGATGTGGGTTGCAACAACTACAGAGAAATGAAAAGAATGGCAGAGTGAAGAGAGGAATGAAGAGCTGCAACAAACCAATATGAGGACTGATGACTTGATGATGATACCCTTTGCAGAACCTGCTCAAGATTATTATGGCATTCTGTTAGTCACATCTAGGATTGGGATTTTTGTCAGTGTTGATGCAAGAGTCAGTCTAACATAATCTAAGAGTAAAAGAGTTGTGTTGAAAAAAATACTCGAAACCAGCCACAGAAGAAATCATGTTGCTCATGGGAAAATATTCGTTATGAAGGAATAACCTTTCCTGAACATCTATCAAACAAGAATGAGGCTCATACTGGCTGGGTATGAGTCTAATTAGCCTCATTAGCTGTATAAAAGTTGTTTAGCAATTTAAAATATCTGTTCCTCAAGTGTTCATTGTGCTAATCAATATAACTCAAAAGCCATGAAAAATTAACATTTTTGGACATATTTTCATGTACAAAATTTAATATTTTGGTAAATATGGTTTGGGTAATGAAGCAAGTGAAGTGCCTAGGTGGTGGTTTCCACTACCTGTGCAGGCCCTTGTCCATAGTCATTATCCAACTTCGTTTTAATCATTGCTCATAGCCTTGGATTGGAGCAATGGATTTGGAAGAAACTTTGAAGATATGCTGAAAACTTGTCTATCTATGCACTGTAAAAAGTTTCATGGAGGCAGCTCCATTCAGAGTGGAGATACTTTGGTTAAAAATCAGTGATTTTTTTTCTGCCATACTCTGTAGATTGAACATGGTTTCAATGGTATCTAGTACTCTTTAATTAAAATTCATGTTTTAGACTGGCCTTTTCTTGTGGATGGTTTTGAAGACCTTCATGATACTTGAGGACATATGAATCAATAAGTTAGAAAACTGAAAATTTGCTAATAGTTTTTCAGATTTTCTCTTGCCTTCATCAGAGAATAAGGCAAGAGGATGACACCCAGAAGGGATTGGAGTCCCTAGCCCATTTAATATTCCCAACTTCTTTTGAATAATCCAAAATTGCTTCAATTCAGCAAAATAAACTTTAATGAAACTTCAGAAGTCTGCTTGGAACATGTCAATTTCAGTGCTCAGGGCAAGTTGCATGAAGGTAGTTCCAGAGTGAGAGGAGATGCAAAATTCATTTGTCTTTTTTTTTGCCATAACCTGTACCTGAAGATTCAACTATTAATCTAGAGCACTCAGAAAAATAAAAACATTGTGGATCTTGGAATTTCCATAATGCAATACACGAATTGCCAATATGCTACCTAAGTACTCATGTTGACTTATACTTGACTGTAAGAGAAGAACAGTGGTAGCAGTGGTTCATTATGATGAATGACAGGAATACAAATAGAATGGGAAGTGCCCCCTCGTCTCAAGTCTCAAACAGACTTCAAACTGTTATGGGGTGTAACTACAACTACTGCAAGGTCAATCTTGCTTTCCATATAATGTTAAAATCCTAAAGACATTGGGCATCATCATGATAAATACAGGGATGTCTTGTTAGGCCTTTTTCAGCCAAGGGACATTAAGAATTACAGGAAGACACACATTGCAGAAAAATGACAATACTTTTAAGAAATTCCTTAGCTGCATAACTGATCCCATCATGAAATATTAAAAATCTAGCCACTTGTAAGTGCAGGAGTTTGTTATGTAGTCCCCCACTTCAACAAAGCAACAACAAAAAAAAGATGCACACATACATACCTGCAAATAGGACCCCTGTTGTAGCAAGGCCTACTACCATATGGTCTCATTGTTCTGGGATCCTAGCTAAGGTTTCTCTATCTAGTGGTGAAGAAGATAATCATGCAAGATCCACATGATTCTGTAATTTCCATGTGGCAGGGAGTAGAGCATACTAGAAGGAATCACTGATGTTCTCCATCATGAAGAATAACAGACTTGCATAAATCAAATCTTATCTCTCAGGATGTTACTCAGCTGGTCACACATTTCTATACACAATGCAACAGGGCAGAACTCACTTGACAAGGTGGTCGAGGATGAAAAGGATGACTTTGCGATTTAGTGGTGGGAGGAGGTTGAAGATGGAGCAGAGGGCATTGCAACGCTCCCCACTCCTCCCATCAAGGCCGCTGTAGGTGGTCGAGAACTGAGGGTACAGGGGGTCTGTGAACAAGGCTTCGGGGAGTTCTCGTAGGTACAGCTTCAGCACCCCTGTCACTGCATGGATGTCCAATGTCTTCACCAGCTGCTCTGCCTCATACATGTCTGCAGATAAGAGCACACCATCAAAAAATCACCTTTATTTTATATCTACATTGCATTGAATCTTCAGACTGTTCTATTTCTAGCCACTGCTTCTTTAATTATGCTTACATGGTGAATGGCTTTCTTATTTTTTAGACATTCCTTCATTAAGGTCCTATTTCAGACACTCAGTAAAGGGCAACAGATGATTTCTCACTGGACTCAAAGGCCTTTCTCAGTCGATTGATGTCTGATGCAGACCCAGAAACACGGTAGATGCCCAGCTCAGTCATCCCCCTCCGCTCCACCTCTGTGATGCAGCTGTAGACTATGAATGGGATGTCCCGCCGTTCCCGCCTGAACAACACAAAATGCATCAGTTCATTTCAAACTCCACTATTCAAAGTGATGAATCAAACATTGCATATTCTTCTTATCAGCAGGCTGCCATAGATCTCACATGAGCCTACTCTTGATTCTTGATGCAACACACACACACACACACAACCCCCCCCCCCCTAGTGACAAGTATTCCATCCTCTCTTCAAAACAAAACAAAAAAGGGGGACGAGTGAGGAGCAAATAATCCCACTCCCACTTCATGATCCTGAATGCCCAAAACATTAATTCTAATTCACAATATATGTACTGAGTCTACAGAAGAGAATGGCCTACATGGAAACTCTTGCAGAATGCTACATCACATCTGTTTCTAACCTTTCTGTTTTCCTTCCCTCACTTTTTCATCCTGAACAAAAAGCTGCACTTGAAAAAAAAAAAAAAAAAAATACTAAACAGGCAATCAGAGCCCATACCATCCCCATATGCATATCTCTCTGCATGGAAACCTTGACGGTGATAAACTTCTGTTTTGTTTCCTAGTCTTTACCAATCGATGAAAATGACAACAGGCTCATTAAAAAAAACACAGGCAGAACAGAACTGCATGGAGCCTCTTATTTTTGAAAGGACCAATAAAGAAGAAGTCCACATTTGAAAAGAAAAGCATGAAACTTACTTGCAGATTGATTGAAGGCAATATTTATGTCTAAATGACCCAATCAACAATAAACAAAAATTAGACTGATATCTCCAATTCTAATCAGTAGTGACTCACTTGAGGACTTGCTGAATGCTAGCTCCAAAGAGGGCAGAAGGTTTGGAGGAGGGAGCACGTCGGATGGTCATCTCGCTAGAAAGGAACTTGAGACGCAAGGATAGGAACACTCCGCCCCCAAGAGACACTTCCTCTGAATACTCTTTTCCACCAGCTAGGCGCTGGCGACTCAGCTGTAAACAAGAGGTCAACATCAACTATAAGCTTGGAATAAATAAAGAGAAAATCATGGCTAAATCTTAATTCAAGCAAATTGTACATTTACAAGTTCAGTAAGTTAGATTGCTACATCTGAAACTTAGTGCCTTTGGGGAAGTTTGAGCATGGATGAAGTGTACAACACTTTGTTCATAAAAGAATGTATATATACAAGGTCTGACAATAAAATAACGAGACTGGCAACACTGTAATGTGATTGGCAACACTAGGTTGCTGGCGATGGTGTTAACCTGTCAGTGCGTGTCTTAAAGTCTGTGCAGTAAGAAACTTGTGATACTTCTAGTGATTGCAGAGCAGCACCACTTTACTTAAAGTAGTGTAAGGGGCACTTGTAAGAAAAAAAATGGGTGATAATATTATGAACAAAGAATCACCGTGAAATTTCTAATAAACTCAGGAAAAAACCAACTGAAGTTTCCATTAAAATCAATCATACTCTCTCTCTATTGATACACAGTTCTTCAGCAATTATTCTGACAATAAGATGACGATCACATCACACCAGAGTTCTCACATTTTCTATACTTTCATCCAATTTTGAAGTTGTCGGTCATCCAGGTCGTCTTTCAAACGCAACTTCTTCCCTTCCTTCAGAAAAGCATTTACACTATTCAAAGACATTTTGCTCTGGACATAACCTCATCTCCATTCACTTGTTTCAGCATTTCAAAGACTTCAGTTGGTATTTCCCAAGTTTGATTAGAAATTTCACATTGATTCTTTGTTCATAATATTATCACCCATTTTTTTTATGAGTGCCCCTTACACTACTTTAGGAAAAGTGGTACTGCTCTGCATTCACTAGAAGTATCATGACAAGTTTCTTACTGCACAGACTCAAGACATGCACTGACAGGTTACAGCAATCACCAGTAACCCAGTGTCGCCACACGCATTACAGTGTTGTCAGTCTCGTTATTTTATTGTCAGATCTCATACATAAGTTTGTTGTTTTGTCCTACCTCAGCCTATCACAGTTGGTAATCTAATACAGGGTGTGGCAAAAAAATGGGACACATTTTGAATTCAAATATCTCTTTAATGAAGTCAAATGTTTACATAATTCAAAAAGTATAAAGTAAAATAAAGTATGAAGTCTGGAGTCTGGTGCATCCACTAAGTTTTGAAAATAATGTCACTTATACGACTAGCACCTCAGATAGCACATTCCTGAGCTCTGACACTCATGCTCTCAACAGCTCTTCTGAGAATGGCATCAGAAATTGCCTGAATTTCATTTTTAATGTTGTCTTTAAGCTCATCAATAGTACGAGGTCTGTTTACATACCCCCTTTCTTTGAAGTAGTCCCACAGATATGGAGGGCTTAGAGAAAATAAGATTCTCTTTGTGCTATGATCATTGAATTTTCCTTTGAGAAATACACCTCCATAATGTATGCAAGCTGTTCATCAGTCCAACAATCCATATTACAAAGTCATATACTAGGTAAAATCTCCATGAACTTCTTTATACTGTGGAAAAAAATACTGTTAAAGTATTAAATCTAAAAAATCATAACACTTTAAAATGTGTCACATTTTTTGACACACCCTCTATTTCAAGCTTGAATTTCAAAAGTGCAGATTTTCCATAGAAAGGTCTGTTTTTACAAATCTCTGGTGAAGAACATTGCCACATAAAAGTTTTGCTCTAAGAACTTTAGCCTCTTCATTGCCAGTTTCTTCAGCATTTCAAGGGGACACTCCTCAGCATACCATTTCCTCATAACAGTTGACCCCTATGGCAATGCACTTGAGCCACCACACTGTCAAAGAGGAAGACAGCATACAGGGTGGCTCAAAAAAAAAACCAAGTTATTGACTTCAATATGCTGTAAATCAGGCTGCAGTACCTTGATTTGGATAAACTTTTAGGCACCCATGAAATAACTCCTTTTCAGTAGGTATGAAATGTTAAGTACTACGAGTTTTTGCTTCATCAGGATGAAAATGGCCACATCCATTTGGAAAACTGCTGCAACAGTCCCCACCTGCCATTTGAGTTGAAGTAGCAACAGCTGTTGTTAATAAGAACACATTTTATTATCTGTATCAATGTTTTAGGTGTCTTTCTTTTTCCACTTTTTTTAATATTAAAACAAAGCAATGCCAAGCTACTTGCATGAAGACTTGGTGGTGATCAAACCCTTGTGAGATTATAAGGGGTGGGAAGCTAAAAGAATGATGAATGAATTTTCTGGTAAAACAAATTAGCCAAGGGTCTGGCCTTGAGGACATCATTTGGAAAGCTGAAGAGACTGAATCAGTAACTCGAAAACAAGGTAATGAAAGGCCCAGAACAGAAAAAAAAATGCTGAAAAAGTCTAAATGCACATGTTGAGTCAGGAAGATCAACCTGGAAGTTTCTTTCACCATATAATTCATTCATCATTTATCTGGCTTCTGATCCTTTATAAACTTACAAGGTTTCACCACAAAGTCTTCATGCAAGTAGCTCAGTATTGCTTTGTTTTAGTAAAAAAGAAAAAAAAAAAATGTGGGAAAAAGAAGAAATGCATCTTAAAACATTGCTACAGAAAATAAAATGCATTCTTATTGACAACAGCTGTTGCTGCTTCAACTCAAATGGCAGGTGGAGACTGTTGCAACAGTTTTTCAAATGGAGGTGGTCATTTTCACCTTGATGAAACAAAAACTTGTGATATCATAACATGTAATTTTATATATGCTGCAAAAGAGTTGTTAAATATGTGCTTAAAAGCCCATTCAAATCAAGGCGCTACCACCAAGAATAGGGCAGGAAGTGATTCCCGTGCTCTAGTCCTATGATTCCTGACTTTGGCTGCATCTTGTATATGCAAAAAATGAAGTGGCCCATACACTCACCAGGAGGGTGCCCTTGCCTCTGACGGAACAGCTCGCTGTGTCGCTCGGGTCCAGCTGGTAGAGGAGGGCACGGAGCATGTGGGAGCCCTCCAGCTCCATGGTGAACTCCTGCCCCCAGAAGGTGCAGAGCCCATCACGGGAGGCTTCACTAGGGGCCAGCGGCTGTGTCCGTGCCTTCCCAAAGAAGTGCCCATACGAGTCCAGTTCCAGCAGCACATAAACCTCTGTCAGCATAACAGGGTCCACCATAAAAAAAAAACTTGTGAATCGGTTCCCCCACCTCTCAAGTTCCATTTGAGGATAATTTCCTGGACCAATATTTACATTTACATCCACAGAAATCATCAACTCAACTCACTACCTTCCCTGCCAGATGATGCAACTTCTCCCATTTCCTTCAATTTACAAACATTTCAATGAGCACTTACTGGACTTTTGACCTCATTTCAAATTTTTCACTTTTGGTATATCTACACGATTCCCACACAAGAGGTGCATGCAAATCTCGTACAAAAATATCAACATTTTGCGAGCTGAAATGGCCACAGAACAGCAAAATATACTACATCACTATCATCCATCATGAAACCAAATAGCAGGAGTTGCTCTGCCAGAAGGGAAAACTTAAATTTCTTGTTAGTCTTTCTTTACGGCAAAATATGCCCTACTGTGAATATGTTGGGACAGGTGTGGTCTTTCTAGTTCGATAAACCAATTTGTTTTGCTTACCTGATAATGAAAAAACTCTTCCACAGAATAATGCCCAGGTATACTGGTGATGAATGTTTCTTCAGTGTGACTACTTTAGGATCTTCTGTATGCAGCAACTACAAGGTAGGTTATGCACAATGCCATTGAGTTGACTGCAAAGCCAGCTACCTGAGTCTCTTGTTCGCGAGAATCAAGATTTTAAAGCACGATGATGAGTGGTGTCAGTTCTTCTGAACGCCAATAAACTGGCGCTCTCTTTAGTAGGAACAAAGTAGATCCATTAAAAACCTCATTCAGCCCATCTAAAATTCTTGCTTGAATATTAACATGATTAACAGAGTAGCTCCCTGAAGGGAGAATTCTTCGGTTCCCAGGGCCATTTTCATTTGATTAATCTGAACTTCCAAGGATAAAGTATAAAAATAAATCCACTGAGAATGGGATGAATTTTTCTTCTCACACAAGCATGCTCTTTCCAGCAAAAAAATTGTTTCTAGTTACTCGTTTTCACCTACCTCCCCCTCCCCTTCGTATATAGGGTGCTTAAAAAAAAAACACTCTACCATCTCCTATGGCTTAATTTCTTCATAGCTGTCCGTTAGAGGTTGTCTGCTCTCCTGAACATCATTAACTCCATTTTCACAGGACACTTTGCACTAGTTGCCTTTTTGCAGCATGAGTGCAAGCTTTCTTTGGCTAATAGAGTGTGCATTTGTAGTGATTTTGAGAATGACTTAAGTTGTGGTTTCTTTCAATCAACAACCTTTCAGCTATACTCTTTCATTTTCTTCTAGCTTCTTTTGGCTCTAGTGGGATTTTCAAAAAAGATCTCTCTGCACTGAAGGTTTGAGCAGGACTGTGCCCCTGATGAGGATCCTGCTATTCTTTCAGATCCCAAAGGCTCCTTTCCTTTCATTCTTCTCTTTTTAAATTCCATTGTCTTATTTTTTGGAGTCAGTTGTGTTGGTTAGCCAGCTATGGGATCACATCACTTTTCTCCTACATTTAGTTGTGTTGTCTGCTGTGGTCAAGCTTCTTGCATGCTACTTCACAACTTAGAGCAATGTTGGGAGGTTTAGTGGTGTGGCACTCTTTTGCACCATTTTTGCAGTTATATATATAGACTGAATAAAAGCATAATTGTGATATCCCTCCCAGCCAAAGCCACCCCACGGTAACAGGCAGGATATGCCCAGCCTCTAGCCTAGGAGAAGAGGACAGAAAACAAATAAATCCCAGAACTACACTATGGCAAAATAGCCTGCAGAGTAGGGGCAAAGCTTAAGAAAGTTAAAAGAACGGCTAGCGAAAGATCCCATCTTAGAAAATTGTCAGACAGCCTGCGTCATCAGGGGGTTGAGGCCGCAAGTCTGACCAAATGAACCCTACCCAGAAAGTTTCTACTGCCAGGGGCTACAGCTATGGAATTGAACAGTTAGACTGTACCTAATGCCTCAGACAGGGACGTAGCCAGGGGGGTGTGCTGGGTGTCTGGACACCCCCGAAAAGAGGCAATATTTCATGAAACAAGGAGTAGGGGAGTGAAGGCAGCCACTTCGTCATCTCAAGGGCCTGAAAAGCCTCACAAGACACCCTCGAAAATAATTCCTGGCTACGTCCCTGGCCTCAGAGGCAATCACGGCTTAAGTCTGTCTGTCAGTGTCACAGTTAATGATCGCATGCAGGGCGAAAAAAAAAAACTGGGAAATATCCGTAATGTCTACATTCCTTTCTTCGATGACTGGTCCCTCATTCGGCAACCAACCCCCCCCCCCCCCCTCTCTCCCCATCACATCACTCTAAGCGCATTGCCTTCAAGTGTTTCAGTTTCCCGCGAGTTCGACTACATGGGAAAGCGAATCACAGAGCCTTCAACCACGACCAAACGGCCAAACGGCGGTACTTTGGTGTTGGGGTCATGGAGGGGAAACACAACACCCTCGTACCGTTGCAGATCGGATTCTAAGCACGTTTCTTGTACGAGGGAAGACAAAAATAAATTCAGATCACTTGGACGTGACCAATCCAAGGATCCCCGTGCGCATGCAAAAATAATATTTAAAAAACATTGCAGTCCACCGATAGGCTTATTCGCTACTCGGTGACGCTATTCGAATACACTATTCGAGTGACAGAACCCTTAAGGATTAGAAGAGGCTGGAGACGGAATGGTTTTAAGGAGGATGCGGAAGATCCCTGACCTGAACGATGCGGGAGGCTTCCTCGGAGCCCCACGACCGAGACGATGAGATCCCCGACGAGCGGGTCCTCGTCGTCCTTCCAGCCGAACTCCCCCGAGAAGCCGAGGTGAGGCGCGCAGCCGATGTTGCTCTTCAGGTACGCCCGGTTGGCAGCGATCCACGCCTGCACGTCCTCGTGGTTCGAGGTCGGGGTGAGGGGAATGCTCAGGGAGCCCTGGAGCGTGTGGATCGCCTCCGTCCACTGGCACCGGTCGTAGTCCGAAGACATGAGGAACGTGTAGACCCGTCCGTGGCGGTGGGCCACCCGGAACGGTAGGTTCGGCGAAGCGAGCACGAGCTGCAGCTTCAGCTCCTCCAGCTTCTTCCTCTGTCGGCCGAGGGCACGACTAGCACCAAATCGCTGCGGAGGCAACAGTCCGATACAGTCTTTTCCAGCCTACCTTCTGCCTGTCGGTTTGCAACTAGCCATGTCTATCTCCGACCGGCAAGTTTATATCGAGGTTGGATGGGTTATCTTCGGGTAACTTATGTAATGAGCCATATCGACTGTTCTCATTTCATCCTCTCGACTCGTTTTAGTTTGCAAGGTACATAACTTCGGTTCTTATTTTTCCAACCGAACCAAATAATATTAACGATAATTAGAATAGCACTTACACTCTTGGAGGAGTCTTCGCTGCTGGTCTGTCGGAGCATCTGGCCCCGGACGCACGAGACCTGGGACTTGAGGGCGACTAGATGCTCGACGTTGAGGGCCAGGGACTCGCGGTCCCTCGGGACCCCGTCCGCACCCCAGAGGTGACAGCCCAGCTCCTCGCTCGGGATGAGGACCTCGCTCAGAGGGATGTACCATTTTGCTTCCGCCATGAACTTCTCTCCTCCTCGCGAAGCCTACACGAACGGCGACTTACAGAGCTTTCCAAAACTTAGACGAAAAAGGAACGGTCGACAAGGGGGCAAGCAGCAAGAGCTCGCGAGGAAGAAGTAGAAACGCTTCCTCTCGTTTCCGAGTTAATTTGGAACGAGCTGCTGCAATCCAACACCCACATACGACATATGGACGAATTAGAGTCGAGCGAATTCTCTTCCTGCATTCTCCAGAACCAATAGTTCTTCCATCTGTTCTTCTCCCATTCAAACCCTGCCGTTGGGCATGCTTTCAAATTTGCAACACTTCACTACTGCGGGAAGGTAGGTTCACGCCGTGGTACGCTGACAGTTCGGTACCGCTAGTTTCAAAATGACACATTGGAAAATACGGGGTAAATAAGAATGAGGTTTATCTGCCCTGCAAAAATATCCTCAACCTCTACGAGCCAAGGAAAAAGTCGACTAGCCCAATCTTTTTTTCTCTGTGGCATATATCTTCTCACCGAGAAAGAAAAAAAATTTCCAGGGAAAAATATAAACTTTTTAGGATGTTAGCTGCCATGAGCATCACCGGAGATAATTCTCGCCCAAGAGCTACGTGGGGTGATCAAAACGTTCTAAACCAAGAACTTCCAGTTACAATACACCTTTATTACTCTTCTCATGAGAAGACAGATGTCTTTGATGGTTACTGGCAACATTTCATCATATTTGTCAATGAAAGATAGCTGCTACGAAAATGTTCAATTTGCTACCAAAGGGTCTGCTGAAAGGCTGTTAAAATTGAGGCGAAAGTTGCGATGAATTTTCTAACCTCTAAGGAGTTCATCTACCGGCAGTCAGCAGCTAAAAGGATAGAGTCCTATTGATAACAAATATGAAAGGCCTCTCCGGAGATGGACTCTTTAGAAGCTAGAAAATTCATCACACCATTCATCTCAATTTCAATATTCCTTCGGCAGATCTTTAATCGAGAAATAAGACGGAAACTTTGCCAGTCACCATCAAAGACATCTGTCTTCTCATGAGAAGAGTGTATTGTAATGGTGCATTGCAACTGGAAGTACCTCAGGCTTAGAACCGTTTTTTCTTATCACTCCACGTATATGTGGGTAAACTACGGGCCACGAGTATCTGTCGATACATCCCACGCAAAAAAAGCGCGAGATGAAGACGAGCATGTGCGAATCCGGTCCCATACCGAACCCTCTCTCTCTCACCGTTCATGCTGCTCTTCCCCCCCCCCCCCCCGTAGAGGTGTGTGCGTGGGCCATCTCAGCCCACGATCCATCACGATCACGAGGGGAAAACCTTTTTCACTCACTTTCAAGCACTTCCATCAATTCACTAGCAATGGAGAAATCACGATCACGCACGATCATTGTGCCAAAAAATGCGAGGCACAAAATCACGCGTCTCGCTGCTTCTCTCGGTCGCAAATATATACACGGTGCTTGTTGAGCACGCAAAACCGACAGTCGAGACGATTCTTAGCTGGCAAAGTGCGAACATCCCTCTCCATTCTTTCGTCTTGCTCTCGTATAAAAAAAAAAATGCGATCACGAGCGCGTGAATTCCGTTCTTACTCGCGATGAGTGCCTTCAAATCTCTGCGTGAGTCACGACGCCCGAACGAAGTCGTCGAGTCAGACGAAAAGCCTGAGTCACGCACACCTCTATCCCTCCCGGGCTAGAAAAATCCACATTCTGAATGGACCCACGCAGGAAGCTCTCCCTGGAACCGAGACCTACGTGGAAGGAAGGGGCGGCATCGGGCATCCTGTCGGAATTCCTCGTGTTCTCTAAGAAGACGAGGGGTTAGGTCCTTGAAAGTACACGTTCTGGCCGAGATTTCCAGGTTTTTGGCGGTCATGATATCCAGGGAAGTCGGCTTGGACGCAGTAAACCTCTGGGATTCCGCACTGAAAAACGCGCCCGTCATGTACGCCTTTTCCTTTGATGAGCCATATCTGGCATACGCCAATTCGATATTTCACAGGGACGCATGAACGCGTTTGAAGGCAACCATTAACAACTTCCCAGGAAAATGAGGAAGGAAAAAGTTCGATGCAATGTGAGGAATTTTGTTCTAGGGCTAAGGTTAATTAACCGTTCATCGAAACTCGAGTTTAAATGGCGAGTGACATAGATTGGACTGCTCGAATTAGGGCCCTTGAAGTGTCCACATTCCTGAGATTCTCGGATGCAAGCCAACACAGGCGGTTTCCATATTTGGAAGAACCGATAGGATGCAGAAAGCGAAAGGGAAGCGATCGGAAGGAAAGGAGACCTTGCACTTTGCCGAGACGATGATGTCGTTGAAGAGCAGGAGCTGCCGCAGCTTCCTCTGCCCGTCCACCAGCTCCACCACGAACGACGTTTTCACCAGGTGCCGCTCTACTTGCTGGTGGCGCATTTGCTGCAAAATCACACCAAGCAGAACGGTGTTCATCCATGAACATCCATGTCATCTAGGCGTATATACACAAGTGCAGAAAGTTCCGATCGCGTGGAGATAGAAAAGGGGAATATGAATAAGAGATTTTGCCACGTAGCTCAAATAGTACACTTTGCACAAAAGTTCATTTTCCCATAGAACTCCATAATAAAATACTGCATATATATTTCAAGCTAGCAGCTCAATTTAAAAAACTTCACACACAGGAATGGTTTATTAGGATATTATATGGAACTCAGGGAAACACACTTGCAAAGAATTGTCATTGGAAAGGCTATGTTTTAGTTACTTGCATATATGCAACTGCAGTACAAAATATGTTGCTGTATAATATCACCACTGGTAATGAAACGTTCTCAATGCCTAAGAAGCAATGTCACACAGGAAATGAAAAAATATAAATTAGGCTAGAGCAAAGCAAAATCAGCTCACCAAGTTAGAGTCATCACCCGAGAGGACATTGGCCTCGTTGAGAAAGCACTGGGTCTTGGAGAGGGCAAAGCTGAGGGAACGATGATCAGGGTGACTTTTTGGTAGGTATCGCAAGAGATCCTAGAAGGAATATGAAAGAACAATCCATGATCTGCATTTTCATCTATGAAGCTTTTTTTTTTTGGCTCACAAATACATTCCCTGGAGAAGCACCACTCTTACAAAGAGAGACTGAGTGCCACTTGCCACAAAGTCGGGCAAAACACATAGGCCATCCCACATACTTGTGGCACAAAAACCAATGGGAACCCTGAAGTATAACATACCTGTAGCACCATGGCATGCTTCTGCACTCGGGAGATGGGTTTATGTAGGACCTCTTGGAGGGGGAAGGACTGGCCCTGGATGGAGCGAACACGCATCCCTTTGATCACCTCTCGGAACTGGGGGCTTGTCCGTGCACACCGGTCCAGAGTCTCCTGCGAGTGCTTGTAGTTATTCACAAACGATGTGTAGAACCCCAGCTGATTTGCCTGGAACCAAATGGCAAATTTCAATCATTTCTCTGGCCAGTTTCAGGGTATATCTCAAGCTGTTACAAGTTTCTGTCACCTGTGTTGCCACTGAAATTTTTCTCTCCATAGAACAGATAGCAGCAGAATAAATTTTATGATATGGTACTAAGCATACTTTTAACAAGTTTAACCTCATTCACAATTTCTAATCAATATGTAACAACATTATGGCATGAAATGAAGTAATAAAGGTATCACATACTATTTTCAGAGTTATATTAAACTTTCTGACATGTAAATGCCATTCTGCTCATGGAAGCTGAATTTACCTCCTACAGGTAGTATCTATAAGAAGGAGATGGGAGAGATCCTTGCACCCTATACAATTTGAACTTGTATTAATTTCTCAAGTTTTCACTACTTGTAATGGGCAGATCTGACCATACCTGAATGCATCCAAAAATACGACCTACAAAATAGATACCAGAAAAAGGGATGATCTACAAGAGAAAACAAAAAAGAGAAAAAACCACTCAAAAGCTAATTCATTTTTCATAAATCTGCTGAGTTTCCTATAATATATTAGGTATATAAGATGCACGAAAAAAGGGTTTTGCAGCACATTGCAGATGTTTCTGATTATCACAGTGACTGAGAAGGGACATACAAAATGAACAAATTCCTCCCCAATGGTGGTATCATGTGTCCAATGGGCCAACTTCTGCTTCAGCCCCTCAAGGAATGTCTTGTGGATGGAGTAAAGCTCTGGGATGCGGTAGAAGATGGCTTTAAAGTCATTGGCCGCCAGCACCGGCTGTGAGGTGCTCAGGGTTGCCTGCAATGCCTTCATGTACTGCAAGGGAGAAAGGGCATTCCATACACAACTTGACTCTTGAACAATGGAATGGCCTAGGGAAAGTTTTATGTAAGACCAACAAAGGCCTTAAATATTTTAAAAGCTAGACTAGCATTATTATAATGCAATCCTACCATGTTTCAATCTGTCCAAGCATTTGAAATCAGCCTTGAACTTCAAAATAAATATTTTATGCAATGGGGATGAGTTGGGTCAATCTCACCCTTTCAAAAATAGTCACTGAAACTTGCATAACACAAATGCATTTTCCTGACATGCACCAGAAGGTATATTTTACAATTTTTATATTATGAATACATAATTTCCTTTTGGTTACTTGGAGTTTCAAAGAAATTAGACCCTTGAGAGAAAAATATCAAGGTCTGATCAAGGTGTCATTCTATCCCATTCAACCATGAAGATCTGCTACTATGTGACAAAATGGGAGTACTTTCTGTTGTCATCAAGCCTTTTTGATATTTTCTTTTCTTGCTGAAAAATTGTAATAAATAAAAGGAATCCATTGCATAAGTTACCTGTAAGAGAACACTGAGAAATTCCAGGTACAGGAGTTCACTGTCAATGATGCTACGGATGATGCGCTGGCCTATGGAACTCCAATCAGGACTCTGTATGGGGTAAATGACAGGCTTTTGAAGCATAAACCAGATGTGGGAATCAAAAGTCTGCCAGGAATATACCTGATGCCCATCATCCACTGCTTGATTGCTTCTTTCAGATGATGATGGCATATTGGAGGTGGACTCCACAGAACTACCATACACACCTAATTAAAAAAAGAGAGGCTCCTTTATAATGATATATTTTCCTATCCAATGCAACACATTTTAAATTGCCAACCTAACCACATTACCAAGCAACTGACTTGAACTTCTTTTTATCATGCATGATTCTTATCAATCTTTTATAATTGCATGAAGAGTATAGAATGCACAGGGATCAACACATTAGTTTAGCTTCAAGTTGACATTTAAACTGATATAGAAAATAGTGAAGTGGGACAGAAATTGTACTGTACAGTGACATTCTTCACTTTTTTGACATGAAACAGACACTATCTATCTGTAGACATCTCTTTGGCTAGTAGTCATGAAATTTAGGGAATAAATTACAACTTATGCAGGAAAAATTGAATTAATTTCTGATGAACTGGATCACATGGAGTGTTAGAAGCTGTAAATGTCAAAAATGATTTTCAGCTTCAATTGCTTTAGCATGTTCTTACACCACTTGAAAGTAAAGCCACTCACAACTGACCCAACTGACCAGAATCAATGTCTTGGAGATCTTCCTGATCCAAAGAGAAAGAATTGGAGTGGTTTGGCAAAGGGATCTGGTCCTGGTCATCAGAAACTGACTGCTTTGCCAACAAATACCTGCATGGAATTCAAACATAATGCATTATAGAGTGGACATCCAAGGAGCCCCTATATTCCCTGTCTGAAAATCTTCATTTCATTATAACATGAGAAATATTCATGGTGAAGCTAATGTTCACAACTGTACCACAGTTGCCATCATTGCATCTTAAGATAATGATCAGTAATAAACTATCACAAAACATGCTGATAATCAATTGCAAACCTTTACAAAATGGAAGGATATTAGAGTCACCATTTACCATTCTTCCCTTGGATACTCAACTGAACATCATTCAAGGCTGAAACATTTGGCTTCACCCATCATAGAAGATGATACATGATGTCGTGCAATGGTTGATGAAGCATTTGTCAACAAACACATTAACCTTTGGGCAGTTAAAGGTAAATTCAGAATGACATGCATACATTCTTGGATAGGCTTTTTCACTGCTTTGCTTTTCTAACTCTCTCAATGGGGTTGGACAAAGAAATCTTTGAATGGTATCGAGTAATTCTGAATTCATAGCATGCCCAAGTGAAAAAGCACATTCCATTTCCAGATGTTTGGTGAGAGTTTTCAAGCAGGCAATATGATGCAAAGTAAAGATCTTGAGCCATACCTGAGTCGATGGGTCTTAGTTTTGGGCTGGCCTACAGACTCTTCCTGATCCAATGTCCCTGTTGCTCCTGATGCTTCACTGGTCTCACTGTCTCCAGACATCCCAGATGCTTGAGACTTCAGTGTTTCTTCGTAATCCAGAGAACTGCTTCCCCCAGATCGAAAAGTGTCTTGAGGGAATGTTGGACTCAGATTGTCTTCCACAACTTCATCAGGACAGACTGTGTCATAATGGGGCTCTTCAGTACCTTCCTTTTCTGCTTGAGCAGGGGGTTTGAGTTCCAAGGACTCACTCTTCACAGAAGAGACACTGGAACTGCTGGCACTAAGACTGACTGGAGCTGGGACTGGAGACTGACGGGTCTCCTCTGTCTTCGAATCTTCACAATGTTTCTCATCATCACTGGGGCCATTTTTGACTGTTGGTGACAGGGCACCTGGGGCAGACTGGCGATACAACTTTGGTGGGAGTGGTGGTGGGGGGCGCTTTCCCTGAGACTCAGCCCTTGGCTGTAGGACTGGGACTCGCTTCTCCTGCCCTGCCACTTCAATCACAGTGATGTAGTTCACTCCGGGCAGGGGCTTTTCATCAGTTGGGGATGTTGTCTGCTTCTGCCTCTCCAGGCTCTCCAGCAACTCCTCGAGGTAATTAACATAAAACTCTTCCTTCTCAACGTCGTCGTGGAGTTCACAGAGTCGTGCTCTGTGACGTTTCAAGTTCTCCCGCACATCATTTTCCCAGACTTGTGGGACCTCAGAGCCAGGAAAGCGAGTTTCCCATGCCTGCTGGAAGTCTTCATAAAGGTTGGTCATGGAGGTGCTAAATTAAGCATTCCTACCAGTATTGTACTGGTAATTAAAAATCACCTGTAAGTATGAAAACAAGCTTTGAATAGTGCCACTAAACCTATATCATTTCAATAGGCCTTGTGTGCCTCCATAGTGCTTTTAACAGGGAGATACTCAATCACATTTGAGTTAGGTCATGAGCAGAGCTATGCTTAGACTCACACTAGCAATAAGTGGACAATTCAGAACCAACCATGAATGCTTAGAATCTTTTCAAAGTGAACAAGTTCAAATATTCACATAACACATTCTAGTATTTGATTTCCCAAAATGCTCTATTATTCAATCAATACCATGATAACTTCAATAAGTTGTTGCAATAAGGTTGAATGGAAAAATTTTCCTTGAATCATTGACTGAATTTCTTCTCCATTCATAAGAATTTTAAAAAAATTATAAAACATCAGATTTGGGAAATTAATTCTTAGCCATTCCAAAGTGGAAAGAGAAAAGATTTAACACCATTCCAAGGTTGGTACATCATCAGCCTACAAAAGTTAAAAAAAATGGCTACTTCAGGGTCTATAATAAAAAAAAAGTTGCTCATAAGTAGTCACTTTATAGACACCCTGTACTTTTCCATGCAAGAATTAAGGTCTGCAGCTGTAATCTACCTCCCTCAATAACCCTAGCCATCCCTCCCTGGATGTTTCTTCCTTGATATGAGCCCCAGGAGTTGAAAAACTATGGCACTACTTCAAGGTTTTTACAAGGAACCCTGGCTTAGCCTCACACAGCATCACAGTAAGCAATCAACTTCCAGAGTACACAAGTCTATACTGTAACACACCAAGATCAATACTAGATGATGACAACATGATAAAATGGAAGCCAAGCAGTGGTCCAAAGGAGAGAAGGATAATTCCTTGGTCAAAAGGGTTGACAGGACTGCAGAAAAGTGGTCAAAGGAACAAAAAAAAAGCTTTGCTCTTCAATGATTTATTCATGAGAAAAGAAAGGTTTGGCAATACTTGCCCTATTTCTTCCCACTCAGTTATACAAGCCTCACATTACCAACAAGGGAAAGAGCCACAGGATGATGCTTGCCATCTCCTTGTGTTACACAGGCCTAATGGCTTGAGATACCATGACAAGGCCTTTTTTTTGCTTAGGTTTTCCATCATGAAGCCTCTCTATATATTCAGGGAAGAAAGAAGAAGCATAGTGAAGAAAGAAGCATAGTTTTAGCTTATGACTTTCCTACTTCAATCATGCATCTTTTCCTTCTACATTCAACCTCTATACAGATCATAATAAGCAGGAGTGAGCACTCCACCACTGGAAAGCAATATCACCATTTTTCTTACCCTCAAGTTACCAAAAGAACTACATCAATCAATAATATCTTAATATTTGCATCCTATTTATTTGTTTTCCCTGTCCTTTTTTCTGCGTTCTCTTTCATTTTTGTCTTTTTCTTTACTCTTTTCTCCTTACTTGCAAATATGTTGAAACCAATTCTACTCTATTCTAAATCATGGTAAATGGCTCAGCCTTACTTGCTAGTGATTAGGCTATATTAGCACAGAAATTTGGTGTTCACAAAACAAAAAAAAATACTTCATGAATTCTTTTATTAACATGCTCTTGCAAAACCCTTAACAAAGGTCATGGTTTTATGATTTTTTGTTTTTTTTACAATATTCAGCTGAATGGCACACCAACTCCCTAAAGTATGAAATGTAATACTTGCATGCTGGTTTCACATTCTTTCACCCTTATCCAGCACCATACTTTGTGCAAAACTTAATATTGCAGATGTTACACTCCAGCACTGCACTAGACTTGTGATAAAGCAGTGGCACTATCATACCCAGGGCTAGTTGCATACACTGGGTTCCACATGGTCTACACATCAGATTTCACCTTTCCATGTCCTATTTTTAGAGATCCAAGGGTGTCCAAACAGGAGTCATGACTTCTGAATGACCTTGTATTCCAGTTAGACTTGTACATGGGAAAATGCATTTGCTTAAGATATAGAAAGCACACGCTGAATAAATTGTCCGATAACATTGTCTCTAAGACATCATTTTCAATTTTCTAAGTAGTAATTGATTATTAGTAAATATATGTTATGTTCCACATTAAGTACCCTAAGAGTTAACAATTAAATTAAAATTCTGGAAATGGATTTGAGTTTTCCATGTTCTGGAATGACTGTCTAGGCTAGTGCATGGTAAGCTTTGCATGACAAAGTAACTAGCATAAGTCAAGTAAGATGGGCATGAGGAGTGACAATGTCCTGGGATTTGGTGATGTAGTGGTAGCATAATGGACTGAAAATCAGAAGGCCCAGGCCGTTCCTGAGTGTTCTTTTGACCTTTCTCTCATACCTTCCTTTCTACACCTCCTAGGTAAGATTCCCTGTGAGTGTAATGGCCAACAGCATCACGTGACCTAGACCGTTGCCCATACCAGACTAGGCCTAAGTTGAGCCCATTCATTTTTTCTTCTTCCTCCAATTACTTATTTCTCACTACAGGTTATGATAATTGGGGCACTGTTGTGCTCAATCATTTCACCTTCTAACAAGTCAAAACTGGTTTAAACTAATGGTATAGACTCCACATCCACACTCCATCTCACTTCACATGTGTTTGTCTTGTCCATCCCTTGAATAATACATTGAAATCACTGAAATACAAAAAGAAACAGCAGCAAAGGGCAGACTGTATGAACAGAAGCAGTCTGTCAAAATAACAGAAAGGGATATACAAAATATGCAAACTATGCAAAATTATACAGGGAGTTGAGGTAAATGCCTATATGATATTGATAATATCCAGTACGGGCATTCCAAATGTATAAGTCCTAACCTTGGGAATTTTAAAGTTAAAATGTTTCGACATTTCACTTGACTCTCCCCAATTTAGGGGTCTGTAGGCCGATGTTAGGCCTAACAGCAATCCTAGCGTTAGAACTATCACAGGGGCTAACGCAGGCCAAGAACTGACGTTAGACTTATCATAGCCTTGCCGTATGTCTAAGCTCTCTCATCTGGAGTGACTATGCCAGGCCTTTCACGACGTTTATTCAGGACTCGCGTATGACGTGACGCCTCGGATGTGACGATTTCGAAGAACGATAATCATGTGACAGGGAGTGAAAGGGCGTGAGATAGGGCTGGGTTATAAAATGTGGGGTTCCAGTCTGAGAATTCACTTTCTCCTCTACGATTACACACGTGCTCCTCGAAGGAGTGTTCTCTGTGGCAGTGGCCTGTCCCTTTCATGAGTATGAGCAATGTTGCCAGAGACTCATTCCCATATTTCCTCGTCTTCCGCTTTCTTTCTCCCATTTTACATCGACACACTCAGTAAACACGCCCTAATACACTAAATAAAAAAATTCTCAACGTTACTTAGTTAAGGAAATGCTGATCCCATAAATAATACCGTATGCTCACTTAAGAGTAGTGAGAGATTGAGGGAACAGCCAAGCAATTCCTGGGTGCGTGACGTCAACCTCAAGGAGTGTTTCTTTCCTTTCTCACGTCATATGTCCGGTTTGTCCTGGCAGATCTGGTTTTTGATCGGCTTCTTCAAGCTTTTTTCTTCTTTGTACCTTCGGTCACCGACCGCGAATACAAATCCGCTTCTTCCACCTTGTCACGCACATCACGAAATGCGAATAGCAGAACAGCCTTCCCATGACGTCCTGGCTCCTTTTTTTCAAAAGAATTCATGACCATGGCACAGTGGCAGCACTAAGGCGGGGGGGGGGGGCCTCACCCTCCTATTTGTGTCTTTAAGTAAGGAAAAATAATTCAATAAGGTTATTGTTAAAAAAAAAATGAATGTAGCATTTCGCTATGAAACTGGAAAAAGGTTCATCCTGTTTAGACGCTCAGGTGAGAGCTCTGTTTTGTTTTGGTTTTTGTTTTTTTTTTGCCAAAAAGCAATAAATAGAATTAATTTTTAAAAATCGAAGGAAAATGAAAATCATTGGAAACTGCTGATGATTTGAAGCAGGGCCGACCCAAGACTGCTTCTGGAAGCTGCACGATTGCTGGCAATGCCGTGTTCTGAGAACGAGACTATCTTGAAGGTGATCCACGTTATCAGGGCCGTTTCTAGGGGCGGGCGATCGCCCGGGGCGCCAGCGAATTGGGGACGCCGACGGAGGGGGGGGGGGGGGAGAGAAACACCATAACAAAACAGGCATTTTTTGTGTGGTTAGCGTCCACTTTATGCGAACTAGCACTAATCGGGACGATATAAAAATTAAACTTATTAACAATATTTCATGTTATGCCGTGCAGCCTCCTACCAGCGTACTGGTGAGTCTGATAACCGTTTCATAATCGGGCAGAAGCCCTTCCGCCCCCTCCCAACCATACCCTAGTATATGCGGCATGATGCCACGCTGCGACTAGGCAATGGGTATCAAGTAAGACTGTCACGATAAGTCGATGTATCGATACCACTATCGATGGTAGGAAGAATCGATAGTTTTTTCGACCATCGCGATGTTTGCGCAAAATGATGGGAAATGCCCCATTGGATTGAGTCGAGTACAATACAGTCCGAGCGGGAAAGGAAGAGGCGGCGTGATCCGCATGGGCTTCCAATTTCTTATCGCGATCAATTTCTGGAAATGCTGGGACTGACTGTATGAAAGAAGAAAGGAAAAAAAAAGTTCAAATGGGAGACAGGAAGTGGGAAAGGAGAAGGAAGAAAGTCTGAGAATATTTTTTTCTCTTCTGTTTCAGTCTTCGGCTCGATCTCATGAGGTGCATGTCTGTCAAGTGGACTGTTCTTGTACTCCCTTAAGATCGAAACGTACATCGGTTAATCCCCCTATGATCCTGTCTTTCTCTTTAGTATGGAGGCTTAAGTTGTTGAATTTTTAACTCGTACTGGGGAATTTGAAGAAACTGGATGCTTTCACGGACAGGCAAAAAGGTGGGGGGCAATGTTGACGTTAGGTACAAGACAGTAAGCAACTAGGATAGTCAAAAAACAAAACAAAACTGTTTTGTAACAAAATACAAAAATATTTAGCTTAAAGAGGGTTAGGCCTACCCTATTAACTGATG